ATCCCACTATCAAAATGTTGCCCCTAAGCAAACATAATTGAATAGCCTCGCAAGCAGTAGCAGATGTCGCAGTAGATGAAAATTGCAGTGACATCGGATTTAACAGATAAACTGCTATCTGCATTTGTTTTTGTTGCTGTGTTTCGTTAGCTGTCAGGTGGGCTGTGAAACGATATCCGCTGTTTTGAAGGGCCCTGTGGTTACAAAGGTTGAGGAACACTGCTGTAAAGGATGTGAAGCTCTGCTTTATCACAGTGGAAACATTGATACTAGTCCGATCGTCTACCCAAGTAGTGGAATATGTTACCTCTTATAAGTGGCCCGATATTTACTGTTGTATACAATTGAACTTGGTTTATGGTTTGCATTCCTACTAGATATTCAGGGCTATTCAACTATCGGCCTGCGGGATGAATTCGAACAGAAGACGTCTACCAAGTGGCCCGCGTATAATTTTCCGGTTACATTGTTTAATTATCGATTTTTCTTTGTTGAGACTCGGGGACAAATCTCCCCTTTTTTTTTTTATATTCTGGCCCCTGAACAAACTTGGTCCAATAGCCGTGTGCTAGATTGTATCCAAGTAGTAGCTCTTTGAGTCACTGGGTATTAGCACTTCAGGTTGTCTGTAATCATGGATAAAATGACAAACAATCAAAAACAATAACTCTGAGCAAAGATACTAACACTTCTCCCCATCCCCAACAAGCATGTCATAAAAGTGGACTAATTAGAGGTTTTCCTTCGCAGTCGGGAAGTCCAGGACAAGAAACTAACACCCAGCATATAAATAATCTAGACCCGTAAAACGGATATGCACGCAAAACTCAAGTTCTGGAACAAGATTAAAGTCCAGAAATGGATGAACAACCAGACATTTCCGCTTCAGTTTAAAGCTGATGAACGCGAAATAGAAAAAGGATAAAAGATCATAACCAAATAGGTCACAGAATGACACTTTTGAGAAACTTAGTACTGTCGCGAGCGCTAAGTCGATGCGAACGCTTCCTATTGCCGGGTTGCCGGGTTCGATTCCAGCTGCAGGCCATGCACCTTGCGTTGGTTTCGGCAGTGGTTTCAGGGGTCCGTCCGTCCAGAAAGCAGTGGCAAACTACTAGACGTAAATTTGCTTAGAGAAACCACACAACAGCCAGGGGCTGCTGGGGTTGGTTCTGCAACGTCCTGTAAAGGATATGCAACTAACTAACCTAGAACTGTCGCTTCCAGCAGTAGTACCTTAGCCGGCTATCAACGCTATTACAAGAAGTAATAACAGCATCAGCGGGCGGAGAAAGTGGAAGATGATAAATATAAGTGTGAAACATCATTAGAATCGCTAACTTACTACCGGTGCGGATTCCAGGGCTTCATTTTGTAGAACAAAGAACCGACTCACAGCTCCTCCTCCCCCTCCTTTTTCCCCCCATCAAGCTTGTCGTATGAGCCGACACATTAAAGGTATTTTCTTCAAAGTCAGAGTGCTTCTGCCGGAGAGTTGAGGAACCAACAGTCTGCACAACTCAAGTACCTGATCAAGCCCTAATTTCAGGAGTGGACGAACAAGCAGAACATTTTACTGGGACATACAGCCGCCGAACGCTGAGAAGAAGAAGAAGAAGAAGAAGAAGAAGTAACGAAACTAACCTGCTGTTCTGTTTTTTACATGTTGTCGAATCAGTAATGACGATTCCGAGGTGACATCACATCCAGTATGGGTATTATCTCTCCATGTATTTTTCACTCTCTTCACTTCACTCCCATCGTGCTGCCTCTCTTATCACTTCCCTCCCATCGTGCTGCCTCTATCTCATCACTTCCCTCCCATCGTGCTGCCTCTCTCATCACTTCCCTCCTACCTTGCTGCCTCTCTCATCCCTTCCCTCCCATCGTGCTGCCTCTCTCATCACTTCCCTCCAATCATGCTGCTTCTCTTATCCCTTGCCTCCCATCGTGTTGCCTCTCTCATCACTTCCCTCCCACCAAGCTGCCTCTCTCACTTCCCTCCCATCTTGCTGCCTCTCTCATCACTTCCCTCCCACCATGCTGCCTCTCTCATCACCTCCCTCCCACCATGCTGCCTCTCATCATTTCACTTCCATCATGCTGCCTCTCTCACCATTTCCCTCCCACCGTGCTGCCTCTCTCATCATTTCCCTCCCACCATGCTGCCTCTCTCATCACCTCCCTCCCACTATGATGCCTCTCTCATCACTTCCCTCACACCGTGCTGCTTCTCTCATCACTTTCCTCACACCGTGCTGCCTCTCTCATCAATTCCCTCACACCGTGCTGCCTCTCTCATCACTTCCCTCACACCGTGCTGCTTCTCTCATCACTTCTCTCACACCGTGCTGCTTCTCTCACCATGCACCTTCTCTTCTCTTTTCACTTCTCTTTGTTTTTCTACCTCCACTTTAGAGACTGCAGACTTCATTTTAAAATTGTTTGTAATAATAGTCAAATAGAATAGATGTGCCAAAGCTAATCAAGTAATATGTCAACTATCTTCCCTGTTAACACACAAGCAGATACCTCGGAGTACTAAAGTGAATCTTATCAGAACTATTTTTTGGCCATAACATCACATCCAGTATGGGTATTATCTTTCCATGTATTTTTTCCCTCTCTTCACTTCACTCCCATCGTGCTGCCTCTCTCATCACTTCCCTCCCATCGTGCTGCCTCTCTCATCACTTCCCTCTCTCATCACTGTGCTTTGTCTCAAATCGGTATATGAATATAGTTTTGAGAAGTTTTACTGGGACATACAGCCGCCGAACTCTGAGAAGAAGAAGAAGAAAAAGAAGAAGAAGAAGTAGCGAAACTAACTTGCTGTTCTGTTTTTTTACATGTTGTCGAATCAGTAATGACGATTCCGAGGTAACATCACATCCAGTATGGGTAATATCTCTCCATGTATTTTTCCCTCTTTTCACTTCACTCCCATCGTGCTGCCTCCCCCATCACTTCCCTCCCATCGAGCTGCCTCTCTCATCACTTCCCTCCCATCGTGCTGCCTCTCTCATCACTTCCCTCCTACCATGCTGCCTCTCTCATCCCTTCCCTCCCATCGTGCTGCCTCTCTCATCACTTCCCTCCAATCGTGCTGCTTCTCTTATCCCTTGCCTCCCATCGTGTTGCCTCTCTCATCACTTCCCTCCCATCAAGCTGCCTCTCTCACTTCCCTCCCATCTTGCTGCCTCTCTCATCACTTCCCTCCCACCATGCTGCCTCTCTCATCACCTCCCTCCCACCATGCTGCCTCTCATCATTTCCCTTCCATCATGCTGCCTCTCTCATCATTTCCCTCCCACCGTGCTGCCTCTCTCATCATTTCCCTCCCACCATGCTGCCTCTCTCATCACCTCCCTCCCACTATGATGCCTCTCTCATCACTTCCCTCACACCGTGCTGCTTCTCTCATCACTTCCCTCACACCGTGCTGCTTCTCTCATCACTTCCCTCACACCGTGCTGCCTCTCTCATCACTTCCCTCACACCGTGCTGCTTCTCTCATCACTTCTCTCACACCGTGCTGCTTCTCTCACCATGCCCCTTCTCTTCTCTTTTCACTTCTCTTTGTTTTTCTACCTCCACTTTAGAGACTGCAGACTTCATTTTAAAATTGTTTATAATAATAGTCAAAGAGAATAGATGTGCCAAAGCTAATCAAGTAATAGGTCAACTATCTCCCCTGTTGACACACAAGCAGATACCTCGGAGTACTAAAGTGAATCTTATCAGAACTATTTTTTGGCCATAACATCACATCCAGTATGGGTATTATCTTTTCATGTATTTTTCCCCTCTCTTCACTTCACTCCCATCGTGCTGCCTCTCTCATCACTTCCCTCCCATCGTGCTGCCTCTCTCATCACTGTGCTTTGTCTCAAATCGGTATATGAATATAGTTTTGAGAAGAACAGAAAATATTTGACTTGAAGTCCACTATGGTTATTAAGCAGGCCGTCCAGTTAAAGCAGCAGATCTTTGTGCTTTATTTGTGTTTGTATCCGCTCTTTGTCTAAACATGTTCATCATATATTGATCTAAAGTATTCTAAAGTACATGGTCCCGTCATCCAGCTACTGGGTGTCTGTTGTTATCTGCATATTCAGAAAACTATGGTGGCCAATTGCCGTAGAACTGTCAGTATTTCTTATTCAGTTGCACGTGCACAACTGCTCTTTTTCAGGTCTGCTGCTCACTTCCACGATAAACTGCAATTAGTGGTTAACTGTTGGTGTTGGAACTTCTTGCAGCTGCCTTATACATTTAGTGCGTGTTCAAGCATGGCATTTATTATTGCAATTTGTTGTCATCCTTTTTCATTTCTGTGTGAAAGGATAACACCCAGTGACTTAAAGAACCAACTATTCAGATGCAAACTCAAACAGAAGCAGATCCCAGAATTGCCGTTCAGCTGTTTAAAAGAGTTGTCTTGTAGCACCCCACGGTAATGAGTGAGGTATTTCTCGGCAGCAATTACAGAATGACTCGATTGAAGCTGAAACTGAAGCCAACCGACTAAGAACATAAAATGGTTACAAATACATTCTACACTTTATTGCCAGGCATATTTCGCTGTATCCCGTCAAATGCTTTTTACAGAGTTCCATCAAAATATAATGTCTCCCCTGATACATTGTGCATCTAATTCTCAGAAGTTCATGATAGTCATACGATTTACTTGGGTAACTTTAAGTTTATAAGGAATTCCTTCTGTTTACACAAGGGAAGATTGTTCATGTCAAGGGATCTGTGTAATACAAAATGGTTAGACATGTGCTTTTGTTGATTTTATTTTGTTGATTGTTTCAGGTTTCCCAAGGTACTTGATGACAGGAGCTTTGTATCCTCCATACCCGCCGCTGCTGCCAGGCACCGCGGAGTCATTGTCTCTCCTGGGAGCTGGCGTAGCATGCATGGCAGGTGGAGCATCGAACGGTGCAGGTCCGTCTCCGTCTCCCCATGTGGCTCATTATCAGAGACTGCTGGAGATGCAAAAGGGTAAATCATCGGATTGATCTGTCACGTTAACTGAGTGTTATGATATGTCACGTTAACTGAGTGTTATGATATGTCACGTTAACTGAGTGTTATGATATGTCACGTTAACTGAGTGTTATGATATGTCACGTTAACTGAGTGTTATGATATGTCACGTTAACTGAGTGTTATGATATGTCACGTTAACTGATTGTTAATAAGTTTTCCCCGTGTGCGTTCAGGTACCGCATATTGGAGGGGGGAAGGGGGGGGGGGAGGAGCTTAGACGCACTGCCCCCCGCCCTCACCCTCCAAGAAGCATGTAGTAAAGAGGGACTAATTAGGGGTGTATCCTTCTTAATCGGAGTGTATCTGCGAGAAACCAACAGTCTGAATACAAGAAAGCTAGATCTGTAAAACGGCTGTGCACGCAAAAGTCAACAAGACCAGATACCAGAAGTGGTGGACGAACAACTAGAACTTACCGCTAGCGTTTTCAGTCGGTGAACGGTTAAAACAAAACGAAGAAGTTCAGCAGTTTAAAGGGTGTTGTCTCACGTGGCTTTTTTATCTCTTCGCAAGGCGGCTGTTCGCCTGTGTGCGAAACTCTATAGCTCTATCGACGTTTTTTTCCCTCCAGGATTGTCAGTCTGTAGGATTAACATTTAATTGATGAGAATTAAACCGGTACAGATCCTGGAATGGCCGTTCGACTATACAGCCATAAATTGTGGCTGAATGGCCTCGAGATATTGTGTCCGCGCCGAGTATTGGAGGTCCCGGGGTCAAACCCGGGCGAAGGCTGAGATTTTTCATGTGGACTTCTAGTTTCCTTAATCTCTGGGTAATAAGGTTGGACGCCCGTGTGTACTGTTGCGCGCGTAAGAAATCCCTTGACTGTTGGAAATCGAAAAAGAGTAGCCTAACGGCGCTGCCCGGACAACATTTGAGGTTAAAAACCTATCCAAAGTATATCAGCATCCTCGCTGGTGTAGCGGAGTTCATGCACTGCGATGAGTTTCATCGGACTTACAAATCAGCCATAAAGCACAACTGTTTTGAGGAACCGCAAAACGGTTACCAAATATAACAAGCCGTCCGACGTGTGTTGGTTTCAGCGACGACCACCAAAGGATCCCTGAAACACATGTACTCGCGAGCCGGGCTGTCAATGGGATTTTTTTTTTTTAAACCAGCCTCGCTAAACTAAAACCCAAGCAATGCATAGACAAAGAACAAAACAAAAAACCAAGATTGGTAAAATGTACAAAATTTAAATTTACGCAACGAAACATTTACCACTTTTAAATAAGGATACACAAACACACACACACACACACATATATATATATATAAACAGATTCACTGAGACGTCAAATAAAAACCTATATCTGGTGGGGAAAAAACAGCGTTGGAAGCCCTGCTCGCGAACCGGAAATGACGTGACGACCTTTACAGCGCCAGACAAACAGTGGAAACATTTTGCCACGGACAAAAACAAATATTCATGTCTACAGTGATGCAAGAACCTGGCGATTTAGGCCTCTTGAACTTTCACACCCTTGTGAGGGCAGGATGAGCGGACCCTACCCCCAAGATACGCTGTTTGATAATTACTATGTTTTCAGAAATGTTATCAGGGTGTCCCACAAGTTTCGATACATAGGAAAATAAAAGTCATCAGCTCTATTACAAAAATAAAAACAGCTGTGCTCATACGGGTTGGAGGACACACATAGAAGTGTGTTTGTAAATAAAAATAGTGTTCATAAATATTAGGACGCAGTTTTTTATGTTATTTTAAGCCCCACCCTGGCTGTCTCGGGGCGCACTAATATAACCTTACAATTGAACGGGGTTTCCGGGACCTCTTTACTAATGATCCTCATCCGGATGGTGGTACTATGTGTCACCGGGTGTTTATCGCTCTGTGATGTCCTAGTGGGGTAAAATTTACCTACTAGTACTATACTTACAGAAGTATTTTTTTTAAACGTACAGAGACTTATGGAAGACTTAGATTTATTTTGTAGATTTATTTTGCAGAAACAGCAAGAAGGAAAAGGCGGTCAAGGAGAATAAGAATAAGAACAGGAGAAAGTTGTAACCGGAAGACATGCAGCAACAGAAGAAAAAGAAAGAAGAAGAAAAAGAAGACAGACAGATAGACAGACAGACAGGCAGAAAGGAAAGACGGAAAGAAAGATGGGGTAATTGAAGAAGAAGAAGAAGAAGAGAAAGACAAATAATAATAAGAAACAACAGCAAACACCACAACGACAATGTCAAAGCAATAATAATATACTACTGACAACCTAGAACCTAATCAGTAAACATGCCGCAGGTTCCTCTGATTTTAGGCTCCACCATCAGCCTTTTTGCTCCCGTTGTTTCAGCTGTAGTAGTAATTTCTTCCTCTTCTTCTTCGCGTTCACCAGCTGTAAACTCTGGTGTAAAGTTCTGGTTGTTCGTCCACTTCTGGACTGCAGTCCTGTTCCAGAACCTGAGTGTTGCATGTGCATCAGTTTTACAGATCTGATTCAATTGAATGCAGACTGCTGGTTCCTTGCCTCTCAGGCAGATGCACTCCGACTTCAAAGGAAGCTCCCCAGTTAGTCGACTCTTACGACATGCTTTTGGGGAGGCAGTGGGTCTATTCTTGTTTTCCCCACAATAGGGCCCCGGAACCCACACGGGGGAGTAGTAATTTAATATTGTACCTTGTCGCACAGTCTCTTCATGTAATCATTAGGCGGAGGCGATTCGCATTTGTCAGCGCTAATTACCCCTTCCAAATATCCCTTGGTGTACACGCACACACGCGCGCACACGCACACACGTGCGCTCGCCCACACACATAATTAACCTATAGAAACAGTTCCAAAATTTCTATTGTTAACTCATTCATGAAAGGCAATATCTGTTGTTGACGGACATTCATTCGAGACCATTCTACTAGTGAAACAATAAATTAGCATTAATGTGCGGAAGTGAATCACGGACACTCAGCCAACCAGCGAATCATTATGTGGAAGACCTCTATGCGGGTTTCAGGACCTTATTATAGGGAAAACAAGAATACACCCACTGCCTACCCAAAAGCATGTCGTAAGAGTCGACTAATTGGGAGCTTCCTTCTAAGTAGTAGTGCGCCCGGCTCTCTAGCGTAGTTGGTAAAGCTGACATCACGGTGATCGGGTGATAGGCTCCTTGTGGTCCGGGCTTACTCCCGGGGGTAGGCAGAAAAGCCACATTTCTCCCAGATTTACGGTTCCTATCATGGAATCAAGGCCGAAGGGTTGCGATATCCATAGTACTGAGCCAAAGGGTTAAGAACTCATGGTTTCTGGATATTAAAAATAAAAGTCGTAGTGCATCTGCCTTAGAGGCAAGGAACCAACAGTCTGCACACAAATGTGTATGATCTGTCAAACGGATGCACACGCAACACTCAAGTGCTGGAACAGAACCGCAGTCCAAAAGTGGACTAACAACCAGAACTTTCCGCCAGAGTGTATAGCTGGTGAAGAAGAAGAATTATGTCGAAGACATTGTTTTTCTGAAAGAAGAACGGCCAGAACACCACGGAAAGATACAGGGCGTGATGACGAAATCTCGATGGAAAAAATTCACCAAGAAATGTATTATATAGATCGGCTGTACATTTTCTGTGAGCATGCCTAGAGAATGATTACGCCGTGACAGTGTGAAAACTGGAGTGCAAGAGAGACGGGGGAAACCAGTAAATAAGATGTTGAGCGGTTCGGAATCATGAAGTGATACATTCTTTTTCTTCTGCCTGTTTACAGCAAAGCTGCGATATTTGCCCCTTTCTGCTGACACATCCGACTTCCGCAGCATTTGTTGAGATGAAATGATTGTTAATACACGAGAAAAAAAAAATACACGACAATGCAGAGTGTCAGCAGGTATAATTATCAGCGCCATATGGCATGGACTATATTCTAATATGTAATAACAAAACTTTGCTACGCTTATAGTAGAATAATGGGATGACACAGACAGCCACTAGTAGAATAATGGAGTAACACAGACAGCTCATAGTAGAACAATGGAATGACACAGAGAGGCACTAGCAGAAAAAAGAAGTAATACAGACAGCTCATAGTAGAATAATGGGATGACACAGACAGCCACTAGCAGAAAAAAGAAGTAACACAGACAGCTCATAGTAGAATAATGGGATGACACAGACAGCTCATATTAGTGTGGTAGCGTGAAAAAAAGAGGAAGGAAAAACACACGAGTAGGGGAGATAAAGGAAAATTGTGATTAGGACCCCAAAAAATATTGCCCCCGCTAAACAGCAAAAACAGAAAAGTAAAGAAAAGACAATGGTTCTTCTTCGCAGGGAGCCTAGAATATTCTACTAAGACCCAGACAAAGAATAGCTGTATATTGAGTTACATGACAACAACCTAATTACATGGCTACACACACTTAGATAAACCACGTACACGAACTACAGATCCTGAATTGAATCAAGCAAATAAATTATAATCATCACATTAAACAGCTGTTTATTTTACTGAACTGAACACAAAATTAACGTATACTCTACAAATAATACATTAACAACAACCAACGTGCTCGACCAGAATCTAAAGTGCTAATCATCTCCAGCAAACAAGGAAATATGATAATGACACCATACGCTCAGCGAGATTACATCAACAATGGCAAAAACCGAAACATATTTAACATGTACGTTAAGCTTCAATATGCTACAAGACCGGCAAATAATTTATAGCGACCTGCAATCAAACTATCTCCTAGCGAGGATACGCACTGACATATCTCTGTACAGTTAACTACTAGAGGAAAATTCAGATATAACTATGGAAACAAACCACCGCCGTGATAATCAAGCCAGGCAACCGGCCTTCCCTTTAGTAGCCCACGCTGTCTAGCTCAATGTGCAGAGCTGAAACAGCTGGGTGGGTCCAGTGCAGGTTCGGTCCGGAGGCCAAAAATAAAGCTGATATTGAGTGAGCTGGCCTTTTTTATAGACACGTGGCTTCCTTATTGACCAAGTTTCTTCGCATCGCCGTCTAAAACTAATAGCTGTTCTTGTGCCTCTTAGGCCTATTGCAGTAGAATAATGGGATAACAAAGACAGCCACTAATAGAATAATGGAATGACACAGACAGTTCATAGTAAAATAATGGAATGACTCAGACAGCTCATAGTAGAATAATGGAATGACAAAGACAGCTCATAGTAAAATAATTGAATGATACAGACAGCCCATAGTAGAATAATGGAATGACACAGACAGCCACTAGTAGAATAATGGAATTACATATACACTACCACCCCCCGTGTGGGTTCCGGGGCCCTATTGTGGGGAAAACAAGAATAGACCCACTGCCTCCCCAAAAGCATGTCGTAAGAGTCGACTAACTGGGGAGCTTCCTTTGAAGTCGGAGTGCATCTGCCTGAGAGGCAAGGAACCAGCAGTCTGCATTCAATTGAATCAGATCTGTAAAACTGATGCACATGCAACACTCAGGTTCTGGAGCATGACTGCAGTCCAGAAGTGGACGAACAACCAAAACTTTACGCCAGAGTGTACAGCTGGTGAACACAAAGAAGAAAAGAAGATATACACTACATTTCATAGTAGAGTAATGGAATAACACAGACAGCTCATAGTAGAGTAATAAAATGACACAGACAACCCATAGTAGAATAATAGAATGACACCGACAACCCATAGTAGAATAATGGAATTACACAGACAATACAGCTTCCTGTCACCAGTACATGGCAGTAGTGAGGATGCAACAGTAACAAAAGTAATAGTAATAAAAACAGCTCTTAATGTGAGATATGGTCCGCAAGAGAAGAAGAAAAAGAAACGTATAAGCTGTCATCAGGCATAATTATTAACGAAACACCGCATTGCTTATAAGAAAAAGAAACTCTACTACTCTCAAAGTAAAATAATGGAATGGTACAGGTGCTGGGACTCTTTGATGTCAACACCTGACGGGAGTGAGGATGCGGCAATAACAGTAATAATAGCCATAACAACAGCTCTTGATTTTGGATATGATGAGAAGAAAGAGGAGGAAAAGAAGACGAAGAAGAAACAATAATTTGCCCTCTCTGATATTTTAATGTTAAAATATAATTTTGCTTCAAATCTTCTTCTTCTTATTTTATCTCCAGAAGCATATCTAGCATCACTGTCAGCAGCAGCAACTCACCACAATGCGTTGTATGGGATTAATGCCACTTCGCTTCCTCCATTTCTAGACAACACCCAGTGCTCTCCTCATGGCATTTCGCCCTTTAGTCTGGTTAAACAGGAGCCTAGAGAACTATCCTACCCAGAAAAAGCACCTAAACAGTCTATCGACAGGAGAACCGGCGGTTTTAAACCAGACCTGGATATAAATAGAGGAAGCAGAGAGATACAGCCTTCGTTGCCCGCCTCGATGGGGAACCCCCAGAGCTTCCAGATAAAAGAATCAAAACTGTCACCATCAATTACAAACGGAACATCCTCAAAATTAGTTACAAAGGGAATCAATTTAAGTGCCTCCACGAATAGTACCAGCCAGCAGAATCTACACAAGTCGTCCAGACATATGGCGACAAATTCTTCTTCATCTGTGAGACACAATTCAGAAACTGTTAGATCTAAATGCATCAGCCCCTCTAATAAGCAGACTTCGCAATCATCATCCTTGTCCAGGAGCACAGTTAATTCTAGCTCCAAAAGAAGTGTTTCTAAGACATCTTTAAATGCAAGTAAACATACGAAATCAGCATCTTTGGGGCACGCTTCTTCGGCAAGCAGCAACGCAAGTCTGCCATCCTCTACCATCTTACGGTCTGAAGCAGCAGTCGTTAGTGTTCCTACGCATCCCTCTGCTCCCATTCCATTAGCAACAGTTCAGCATGATGGCGTCGTTTTGTCTGCATTGGCTTCGCCGTCTTCTGCTGCTGCTTCTTTAGCCTCTATAAAACCAGCAGTATTGAAGCAGCAGGTGGACAGTCAGACCAGGACATCGTCTGGAGACAAGGAACATGCAGATAACGGACAGTCAGTATCGGAGGCAAACACATCCAGTGGTCTTTCACTCACGTCTGTGAACTTTCAGCATACCGTATCCGAGAGTAAACTAGGTGCAGAAGAAAACAGACAGACAATCTCTTGTGCTAACAAAACCAGCTACTCTGTAAACAGTGATCAGAAGGATAAACCGAAAGTTCTTTGTGATGATGGATCGGATATAATTGTAGACTCCACAGAAAACGATGATTATCCCGATACTGCCCGATCGCCAAACAAATCTGACCAGGACCGAGCTATCGAAGAGACAATAGAAATAGTGGCTTCGGGAGGGGACTCTTTCACGAGAAGTGGCCCAGAAGCAGCGGCATCGCCACAGTCTGTGAAAACTTCCACAGATGCATCGATGACATCAACACTGCTTTCTGTAACAAGGACAAGCCTCTCGTGTGTTGTCACCTCTTCTGGAACATCGAGCAATACACGGACGATATACGCCAAAACACAGTCAGTGCCTTCAGTTACAGTTTCAGGTGAGACTATTGTTGTGTGGTATTTTTCGCAGCCTGTCCATTTAGAATAACAGCACGTGTCTCTACTGCTTATAGTGTACAGGCAGCGGGTCTCTCTCTCTCTCTCTCTCTCTCTCTCTCTCTCTCTCTCTCTCTCTCTCTCTCTCTCTCTCTCTCTCGCACATACACGTCGTTTATGGTTTGTCTTCATATATCATCTTCATATGTCATCGGGGTGCAAATATTTGGCGGATTGTTGTACTTTAAATTCATTACTTATACCTAGTTATACCTACTTATTGACTGGCCCTAGTCTTTCTACACAAAAGTGTATCTGCCCGCTTTGCCTTCTCTAGTTCTTGACTTGCCCTGGTCTCTCTACAAGAAAATGCGCATCCTTCACAGAGCGTTGCAGAACACAACCCTAGCACTTTTTTGAATTTACCTCCAGTAGTTTGCCATAGCTGCTGAACCGTCAGCTACCCCTGTCGAAACCATCGCATGACAAATCGTTCGCAGCAGGAATCAAACACAGTACCCCGGCATAGCGAAGCGCGTTCGCAACGCCTAAGCCACAGACGCCGACAGATCGGCCTTACCTGACCATAAAGGAGACATTGAATAGTGTGTTTACTTTTTTGATAGGTTTTGTACATACCAGCAGGCGAAAGCTTTGCACATAGCTGCCATCATTTGTCTCCTGTCTATAATGTAAATAATGTAGTGATTAGATAGCGAAGTACAAGGCGGAGGACTTAGAGGTTTCCACAAAAGCTTCTCCTTCGAGATGAGAGCAAATGTTAGCTTTCATCAGCGTATTGAAACGGAGCTGTGAAACTTCGTCTGCACTGGTTCGGGAGGAAACGATAACAAATGGGGAATCGAGCGGGAATATGGGGGTCAGGGGTGAGGTTCTTTAGTACTAGTTTAGACAAACAAATCCAGCTGAAACATTGTATCAGTGCTTTACAGGTAGAAAATGCTCAGTGCCTGCCCTCGAGTCCTCGCCTCTTTAAAAACGCATGAGTTGCTCTTGCTTGGCTGTGCAAGGAATTCCAGACTCCCAAATGTCTTCTTACATTTGAAATGCGCTGTCTCCGCAATGTCACTAACAACGCAAGACGAGACAGGGTTACGAATACCATTAGAGAGAAAGTCTGAATAAGACCATTTCTGGATCATATTGACAGCCAAAACAAATGAGATGATTCAGCCATCTAGTGAGAATGCAGCCAGATCAAACTGCATCTGAGACTTTTTACAGCAGAACACCTCGGAGGACGGTAAGAGATGAATAAGAAAGAGATGGATAAACTAATTAGCAGAAACCTGCCAAAAAAAAAAAAAAAAAGGTGAACAAATCCGTCACCCAAGCTCCCCACCCCAACAAGCCCAATTTAACACAGAAAAACAACGACAGTGGGCTACACCCTGGTATTAGTGAGACTACAAAAGAAGAAGAGGAAAAGCAAGGAATTCTAAGTATTGACCAACGATCCTAAGCATGAAAATATTTCGGTACTGTGACCAGCAAAAGATGAAGATCTTCTGCTGGCTATGGCGAGTGGAACGCTGCGTAAATGAATTTGAACATGTATACACACGGGTTTTCTTCTTCCTAAAGTCCATACAGTAGAACAGGGTTATTCAACAATGAAGCTGGCAATGATCCGCGGGCCATGTGCTAGGCCTTCGCGTACCAGATTTGGGCCGTGAGCTGCAGTTGAACAGCCCTGCAGTAGAACGTTGATATTCCACAACTTTCTGCTTGGCATGGTTTCAGTCATTTCTGGCACACATCATCCTCTATGCCATTATCAGAACTGTCCATAATTTGGTCTCTCGGTCTCTGCCTCTTTCCCCCTGCAACATCTCGTTGTTACCACCAACTCCAGAATGTACCTTCTCGCGGTGTGGCCTAATACAAATGTCTATTGAATTCTCTTTATACAGATAATCAGTTCTATTTGGAAGCTAATTTCTCCCAAGAAGGCTTCATTTTATGTGATTTACTATACAAAGTCGCATTTGTGTTGAAAAGGGGAATTAGGCAAAGACAGAAAATTAATTAGCAGGCAAAGAAGAATAAAAAATAAAAAGCATGAAAACAGCAAACAATTTCTGAAAGATAACATCAATAGAAATACTGAGGAAATATTAGTAGATATCAGTAGTATTTATTTACAGATAAGCTTAGATGTTTGGAAGGTTCACCAGTTTAGAGAAGAAAAACAAGTGTCAGCATAGTCAACACTATTACCGGAAAAATTAGTTGCGTTTCCTTTACAGGGCGTTGCAGAACCAACCCCAGCATTGTTTAGCTGTTGTGGTTTTTCTAGGCAAATTAACTTTTAGAAGAGATAACATATTTAAAAAAGAAAAAATAAGGAAAACCAAACGGCAGAAATGTACCCCTCTGCAAATAAAACAAACTGCAGAAGTATTAGTAAGAATAATAATAATAATAATAAAAAGTAAAAATCCCTTTTCACGCCTTTATTCGCATCGGGCATTTGGGAAGAGCACCTTATATTCTTACAGACCAATCGGCACTAAGTTGGTAATGTGGCCAGCACTACGCCGGCCGTCTTTACATCCTGGTACCCATTTTAGGCTGGGTCGACCTCGGACGCCCCATACCACGGTACAAATCCACGCAGCAAGCAGTGGGTTTTGATCGCGGTGCGTTGGAATTACGAGTCGGACTCGCAACGCCTAAGCCAAAGTAAGAATAATAATCAACTGAAAATGATAAATAACATATTAATCACCGAGCCGTCATTAAAACAGTATCTCCAGAAAAAAAAAAGCTGATGCAAATTTCAAATACCAGAAAACGTCAAAGCTACACCAAAGAACAAATGGATAGAAAGGAGAAATACATAGATTCATCACGACATTGATTTCCTGACATGGTATAAACCTGTAGTGTTATTTAATGGCAGAGAGAAAATAAACATTTAAGAGTTGAACGTCTCAAGTGCCAAAATAGATTTTCGCGTTAAAAGATAAGTGCTCTGTTTTCTGTTGAAGAGATACGACTCAGCCTTTATCAGAAGTTTAATTTGTCTGACATATCAGCGTTTGAATTTAATCACAGGAAGGAGAAAACCCCACAAACAAGGGTTGGGAGTGGCGTAAGTAATTCATAAAAGAACTTTAAACAAAAATGTCTTGAAAGGTTTTACAGTCGAAGATATACAATTCTTACCTGCACAGTTCGTGGCGACAGCACTAGCCATCACAAAAATGTAGTAACTGGAAGGAAAGAAGACATTAATATCACTGATGTATAATTTGGTAGTAAAGCAGAGGTTAACGTTATTGTTAATAAAACTCGTGTTAAAAAAGCGATTATATAAAACAATGAAATTTAAGTAAATGTTCTAAAGCATTTTTTGGGGGAAGGGGGGGGGGGGGGTACACACACACGCACGCACGCACGCGCGCACACACACACGGACGGACGGACGCACACACACGGACGGACGGACGGACGGACGGACAGACAGACAGACAGACAGACACAGACACAGACAGACAGAGACACAGACACACACTCACACACACACACACACACACACATACACACACACACACACATTTGACCTTTAACAAGTCATTAGGTATGTGGTCATTATTATATGCGGTAATTTTTTTAAACTGTTATTTACGATGCAGACACATTACATATTACAGTAGCCAGTGCAGAAATCTAAGTATCTAGGCACATGGATAACATTCGACAGAAAATGTATCACAGAGATTAAAAAAAAAAAAAAAAAAGAAAGATTAGAACAGGCCAAAACCGCCTTTAAAAAAAATTAGAAACATTTTGTGCAGTAAATCCATGTCACCGGATGTTAGGAAATGATTTCTCGCAAGCTATACAGAGCCTCTGTTAACATACGGCTGTGGATCCTGGTCATTATAAACTAGCCGAACAATTTCTTGAGGCTTCGAAGACATGGTTTTACTGAAGAATCATTAAAATTCCGTGGACAGCTGAAAAGAGCAATTCAAATTTTTGGAGAAAGGTGAGGGCTCGAAGACAACTTATCGCAAACAACATAAAGATAAAGTCATCATTGTTTGGTCATGTTATGAAAAGAGGGAAACTGGAACATGTTGTGACCACTAGAAAAATCTGTGGAAATAGAGACAGAAGAAGACAGCGTTAGTCGATTCTTGACATCGTGTTGTCATGGCCAGGAGGGGTGTCAACACACGAACTGATACACGCTGTTGCGGATCGCAGATTGGGGAGACGCATGATCGCTCACTCCAGTCGCCAAGTTACTTGTTGATGGTGATGATCGTTATGATGATGATGATAGTCAGTACAATAGTCGTTGGCATCTTTAATGTATAGTATTTGTTATTGTAGGTGGGAACATACTATAACTAGAAACATAAGCTTTGTTAGTAACACACAGTGGTTTGAACATACTTTAGCTGGTAACACCTGTTATCAATCAATAACATTAAGTAAATACTTCCCGGAAGAATAAAAAAACTACGCAGATTTTAATGGGTCATTAGGATATACTGATTTTTATAAACGCCCCTAAGAGATGCTATTTTTTTATATTCCCAAATCTCCCAAGGCAGTTCTCAATATTCACAAACGCAGTGTTTCCCAGACTTTCCTTGGTGGCTGCGCCTTTTTTCAATTCAACATTTTTCCACGGCGCTCTAACCTAAGTAAACGTATGACTTTCGTATCTTTGTTTAATTAATTATGAAGCTTTTACAGTATTTCGCGGCTCCCCTGTGAAGAGGACGCGGCTCCCTGGGGCGCGCGCGGCGCAGAGTTTGGAAATCACTGCACCAACGTTATCCTGTCTGGTCCCATCTAAAATAGTTATATTGTGAAGTGAGTGGTAAAAATGCAATAAATGTCAAAGCACAAACTGCTGTAGGGCATGTATAGAAACGAAGTAAAATTAACAAATCAGAAAAAGAAAAAGAGTAAGTGCAGCCATCTCTCTAGATGAAGAACTATAATTTGTGTAGCCAACAGTGTACAGAAAAAAAATATATAATACCCAAGGACGCTTAAAAATACTACTATAATTACTACTGCTGCTGCTGCTACTACTACTACTTCTACTACTACTACTACTACTACTACTACTACTACTACTACTACTACTACTACTACTACTGCTACTGCTGCTGCTGCTGCTGCTGCTGCTGCTGCTGCTGCTGCTGCTGCTGTTGTTGTAATGTCTCTGCACACTTTCTTGAGGTTATGTTCTTTTCGTAGTTGTAATCAAAGCGGACAGGCCTGCAGAATATGCTCAGGCGTGGTCTGATCAGAAAAGTATACTGTGGGGACTATGCAGATTTTATTTTATTCATGTGGTAGTTAAGCCTGAAGTGTCCTGTTCTTAGACCCGAAAATATTTGCATATTGTTTTCTGCTGAGTCTGTTGATGGCGTCATGTGGATGTTTGCTGTTGGTTTGTTCTTACCACAGTTCCGTGTATTTCTTCTTGAGAATATATCTCACATTAAAGTAAGCACACATTTGCGGCAGTGTACAGTTAGTGCATATCCCTGTCAAGATAAAGGTCTGAGTTTCAATCTACAGAATTAAGAGGGCTGCGTGGTCGGGAGGCATGATGTCCGCCTCGTGTGCTAGAGGTCCCGGGTTTAGGCCCCGGCGAAGGCTGGGATTTTTTCACGTGGATTTCTGATAATTTCCCCTGGTCTCTGGGTAGTGAGATCCGAAGCCCGTGTGTATTGTTGCGCACGTACAAAACTCCTCGGCAGTTAGAAATTAAAAAGATTGGTCTAACGGCGCTGCCTGGGCAAAATTTGGAGGTTAAAATCTACCCAAAATGTTTTTGGATCCTCGCCGGTGCCACGGAGCTCGAGCACTGCGCTGAGCTACTTCGGAATCATGCTTGAGTTAGAAGTAGAATGGAGCACTTATGGGTTACTACCCGTGTATCATGATGTTAATCCGTTGTTCAAACCTCAAACCTTTACAGAATTAATTGCTGCCGACCAGTACAGATTTGAGGATGACCCTGCCTTATTAAAATAATAAAAATAATAATAATATTGATAATGATAATACATAATAATAATAATAATATTAGTGGGGATTGTCTAGGAAAAAAAGTCCACCATTCCCCTCTTCTCTCTCCTTCTCCCCCTCTCTTTCTCTGTCTCCCCTCCCCCTCCTTTTACCACTATATTCTATACCATTAGGAGAATGAATGAATGAATGAATGAATGAATGAATGAATGAATGAATGAATGAATGAATGAATGAATGAATGAATGAATGAATGAATGAATGCATGAATGAATCAATGAATGAATTGACCTCAACTGCACTAGGGACATTCTCATTCGTGCTCCGCCCCCTTCCTGAATAGCTAATAAAGAGTTCCTATACTGATGCTGCATTCTGCAACCTGTACCATATATAGAGTAACAAATAAACATACAATGAATTACTTGGTACTGAAAGAATGAACACCATCATCAGCTTGCTTTCCTTCCATAGGTTGTGTTCAGCTTTCAAGTTCGATCACGAAATTGGCTTCTGCTTCGGCTCTCCCATATTACCACACACTGTACAGCAAACCGCAGGGCGTAAAGCGTGTACATGCCACAACTTTCGTTCCCGAAGTCGGTGTTTTTAAAGGGCCATCTATTAAAACCGTGAGGAAAACATCATCATCCCCATTGTCTTCAGGAAACAGGGCACTGTCTCCAGAAATACGATCCAGATTAGATCCGAGGTTAGTCCTGAACATCCAGTCGCTGCCATCGGATAGTCACTGCAGAGTTCGTGATTCATCGCGGTCTCCCTCATTGTGGTCTCCTTCTCGCGATCTTGTTTCCCATAGTTCATACAGTTTGTCAGCTAGTCCGGGCATTGCTCATACTACTACAGAGATATCTTCCAGCTTAGACTCGGTCAGTCTGGACTCCACAAGTGTCAGGTCCCAGTCGGTGGCCAGCTTCCGTTCCGTTCCAGAAGGGGACGGTTTAGATGATACGTCAGACGAAATTGAGAGCGACGCAGCTGTCGATCACAACACTTTCAATGACCCCCAGAAGGCTGAAAACGGCCAGCCTACTATCCACACAGACTGCAATATTGAATCCACCGAGTTAGGGGACTTTGGTGATGACGATGATGATAATGAGGAAGAGGGCGACGAGGATGAACATTTGCCGAAAGAAAACAATTCCGTATTGGATGAAGATGACTATTTTAGTGTGTCTACTACTCCAGTTGATTCTAGTAAAGAATTCATGCCCATAATAGAAAGTAAAACCAATGAAACATACGACATCCCAAGGATTAACCTATCTTCAGCGAAGCCACTGGTATCTCTAGACAGTCGTGTGAATCTAGCAGCGTCAGCATTGAGCGCTAAGCGTTATTGTGATACAGCTATAGACTACAGCTTACCGAAACTGTCAGGTCCAGGTAACAGTTCTACATCGCACGCTTCCTGCAGCGTGAATCCCTCCTCATCATCCACCTCCACGAGAATAGTGAGTTCTGCAGCACGAGCCTTTACTCGTTACGAGTCTAGTGGTTTACTGGCAGATCACTTCCTTTGCAACCCCTCCCCATCACACAGACGACTGAAGCGAAATCCAGATTATTGCAGACTGCAGGTTTTCGCCCCAACATCACAGGACGTTGTCCATAAAGTTAGAGGTCTGAAGAAACATGGAGATGGCGGGGTCAAGAGATGCGAATCAGCACCGCCCATCGCGTCCAGGCCCTTTGAGAAAAACCTGAAAGGCACTGTATTGGCATCACCAAATACTTCCAATGAGAGGGAATTTCACACACAGGACAAATCTGACAGCTGTGTTGAGCACTGCCTTGGTGAGTATTGAAAAAAAGATTAGTATCTGGGTGACTAAAAACAACAACAGAAATCATACCTTTATACAGTGAAGTCGTCTGTCTGCCTGCCTGTCTGTCTATCTGTCTGTCTATGTGTCTGTCTGTCTGTCTGTCTGTCTGTCTGTCTGTCTGTCTGTCTGTCTGTCTGTCTGTCTGTCTGTCTGTCTGTCTGTCTGTCTGTCTGTCTGTCTGTCTGTCTGTCTGTCTGTCTGTCTGTCTGTCTGTCTGTCTGTCTGTCTGTCTGTCTGTCTGTCTGTCTGTCTGTCTGTCTGTCTGTCTGTCTGTCTGTCTGTCTGTCTGTCTGTCTGTCTGTCTGTCTGTCTGTCTGTCTGTCTGTCTGTCTGTCTGTCTGCCTGCCTGCCTGCCTGCCTGTCTGTCTGTCTGTCTGTCTGTCTGTCTGTCTGTCTGTCTGTCTATCTGTCTGCCTGTCTATGTGTCTGTAATAATACATACGTATTGTTATTGGTGTTAGTATCAGCAGTAGTAAATATGTATATTGGTAAATACATTTGGTCCCCCAATTCTACACACCGGTACACACTTGCTCACTTCTAATAGGTCGGCCTTGAGACATCTGAACTTCACACAATGTCACGGGGGTGTTCCCCAATGCCGCTGGTATCGCATGTTCTGTATTTCACCATGCCAGCGCTTCTTACACTACAAAAAAATTAAGAAACGGGGTCTAACACACAACACCCCTAGAGAGTGCTGCTACCTATGTTACTGGCAGGCTCTTTCTCGGAATAAAAAAGTAAATGCAAGACAACAACAGAGCGCCACACCCATAACCTCGACCACCGTAGACTAGTCCAACACAGTTAGCAATGGAATGTGACCTACTTCCCATGGGAAGACTAACGTTTGTTTGAACCACACACACACACACACATACATATATATATATATATATATAGGGAGTCGCCGTGGCGTTGGCAGCCAGACGCCCGCCTGTGTATCTAAAGATCGTGGGTTTGCCTTCTGACGGAGCCGGATTTGTTTTCCTTCCATTACTGACTTTGACACCCAGGTGGACCCAGCCTTGAGTGGGTACTAGGACAAGCATGGGAAGCAAAGGCGGCCGGCGTGACGCTAACCACATCACTCACTAAGTGCCGATTAGTCTATATAAATATAGGTCTAGCGTTATATTCCCAATACGCCCAAAGGCGTGGACAAGGGAACTTTACTTTTTTATGACATGTAGCACCATATGCATGAAGCCCCAGGTAGAGCTAAGGGTCACACATTGAAAAAGAACGGCTTGAATGGCGCAAGCTGAGGACACAATTCGACATGTATCCAGGCTAGATACATTTGGGCGAGGAGAAGAGTGGGTCAGAGTGTCCGAGCAAGAATCAAACTTTTGTAGGGCTGTGGTCACTTTAGGTCGTGAGTGCAAAGAATGGCCACCTGGTGCTGCAAAATAAGAAGTCAATAAATGATTCGTGACAACTACCGCCCAGTGATGTATCTATTCAAATAGCTCTGTGTTGAGAGGTATATGAAGTGCATAGGACGCCACTTAGTGCAACAAATCCTGGCATATAATATCACAGCGTCTAGTTTGAGAATGGAGGTGGAGGAAGTCACTGCTGCCTTCCTATGGATTGAGAATCAGCTGTACACACATGTCGTAGTTGTAACTGACTCACAGAGTATGCTGAGAAAGATGGAGACAGGCATGCTATGTGCAGAGTGGCAAACATCGCTTCAGATGTCCCGGGTGGTTAGCGTCCTTTGGATAATTTATTTAGGTTATGTTGGGAAATGAGCAGGCAGATAGACTGGCCGATTCTGCACCAAATGTGATGGGAAATTGATGTATGACAAGCTAGATGTGAGGGCCCGTTGGGAGCGCGTGAACAGTGCAGAGGCATATATAGATCATTACGGTCTGATGAGAATGGAGCTGCGGGGAGTTACCGGGTAATCTGGTCGACGCTCAAGACTCAAGGGAAAGGCGAGACGGATGTACAATCAGACAGTTACTAGTACTATCGGAATTAGAACTCTTGACTTGCTGCTAAAGATGGGGGACGAAGCGCTTATGGGAGTCTCCCGAGTGCTATGATGTCGATTCTGAATTCAACATTCAGTGCCATGTAGTCATATCTATCCACGACCTTGTGTCTGGTACAGTGTCAGTCCATTCTTCTTCTTTGCGTTCACCAGCTGTAAACTCCGGCGGAAAGCTCTGGTTGCTAGTCCACTTCTGGACTGCAGTCCTGTTCTAGAACCTGAGTGTTGCGTGTGTATCCGTTTTACAGATCTGACTTATTTGTATGCAGACTGCTGGTTCCTTGCCTCTCATGCAGATGCACTCCGACTTCGAAGGAAGCTCTCAATTAGTTGACTCTTACGACATGCTTTTGGGTAGGCAGTGGGTCTATTCTTGTTATCCCTATAATAGGGCCCCGGAACCCAGACGGGTATCAGTCTATTCTGATACAGATGTCAAACGGTCCAGCGTCCTATCTGTCGGTCTCCTTCTGCGTCTTGTCCCCTCCAACTCTCCCACAGTCAGGATGTATTGCAGATTTCTCCTTCTCATAGCACGATCAAAGACGTTGGATCTCTCCTTCTAATTGAATGTTGATTGTTGACTGTTGAATTGTGTTGCGTGTGTAGCCATACCCATTTCCACAGCCTTCTGTCTTGTGTACTTTCTGATACAGATTATCCTCCATGCCGTGGTGCCAGGCTATGGTAATTTCTCATTGGTCTCCGTCTGCCTTTCTTTCACTGCAACTTCCCCGCCGTCACAAAGAACTCAAATTTCATCCCTCTCACGAAATAACCAAAGAATGTTGCCTCCTTCAAAAGCGGATAATCAGTTTTTTTTTTTTGTAAGTTTATTTCTGTCATCACATCTTCAGTATCTTTTTTTTGTGTGTCCATCTTTTCTGTCATCCTCATTTGTCTATAAAACGACATTTCTGTGGGCGTCAGATATTAGTTCACTGTGTACGATTCACTTTCGTACTTAAATATTGGCTTTTTCTACCTCTTAAGAACTCTCCTTTCCAGCTCTGTAGAATGCATATGATATATTTCCATTTTGTGAAATGTTTTCAAACATTATTGGTCACTATAGTGCAGCCGTTATATGTGCATGTTATTATTGTTGTTATTGTGTTAGCGGCGTCTGTGGCTTAAGCGTTGCAAGTCCGACTCATAATTCCATCGTACTGCGATCGAAACCCACTACTGGCTCCTGGGATTTTTATCATGGTATGGGGTGTCGAAGGTCAAACCAGCCTAAAATGGGTACCAGGATGGCTCTCCTGGGGAAGTAAAGACGGCAGGCGTAATGCTGACGACATTACCCACCTTGTACCGATTGGTCTGTAAAAATGTAGGATGCTCTTTCCATAACCCGATGCGCCTAAAGGCGTGAAAAGGGATATTTACTTACTTTAATACCCCTATGCTCCTAATCGTCCAGGCACAGGTAACAATATACCAGTTGGAATCGCTGTGGCACAGATACGGCGTCATCATGGTCATCAGCCCAAAGGTAAGGTTTCATTATTTTCGACATTGTCTGTTTACTCCTGTTTTTTTTCCCCTTTCTTCCTTTTTATAAGCCCCAGTACGCCCCATATCACTTCAGGTGACTTGGAGAAGCAGGCTTTCCCGATTATAAGACTGGGTCATATATTAATTTTTGCTTCTAAAAATTGACAAGGTCTTTTTTATTTTTATATCCCCTCCCCCTTTACACACACACACAAATCAACATTTATTTAGGTACACAGTTTTACGTTTATGTCATTTTCTTCTAGAACAACGGTTCTTAACCTGTGGATCGCGACTCTTTTTTTATGTATGAGTAGAACGATCCTTTCACAGGGATCGCAAAGACCATCGCAAAATACATATTCATTGAAGTTATGAAGTAGCAGCGAAAATAATTGGGTGCTTTTCTGTCAAGTCACGCCAGATTTAGAGATATCCCATAATATAGAGGAGTTAGGGTTAGTAGTAAATGCTATTTATTTAACACTACCCATAACTCTTATCCCCCTATACTAGGGGTTTTCCATATATCTCGCGTGATGTGGTGACTTAACATAAAAGAACCCATATTTGTATGGTTGGGGGTCGCCACAACATGAGGAAATTATTAAAGGATCCCGCCATTAGGAAGGTTGAGAAGCTCTGCACTAGAAGATCGTCTTAACTCTCCAAATTGAGTATTCTGACCTGAAGTTCTTGCTACTCCATTTCCTTTATAACATTGGGTCCTAGTCTCTCGTCTCCAGCAATACAGCTTTCCTGAAATGGGCATTTACTGTCTCTGTAGCCGCTCGTAGTGCTCTGGTAACACAACTGTAGTTGATTTTATCTCATTTATTCTTGTTTGTGTGTGTTTGTTTTACTATCCAGAAGCCATGAGCGGTTAACCCTTAGGCTCGGTATTATCGATATCGCAACCTTTCGGCCTTGATTCCATTGTAAAAACCGTAAATCTGGGAGAAATGTGGCTTTTCTGCCTACCCTCGGGAGTGAACCCAGACCACAAGGAGTTCGTCACCTGGTCACCGCAAAATCCGGTTTAGCCAACTACGCTAGAGAGCCGGGCCTCATGTATCCTTAACCCAAATAAGGGCTTTATCCAACTAGGGATTATTTTTCTGTGGATGTAGCTTATATTCAAAGCATACTAAAAAGTTTATTCTCTCCACCCCCCCCCCCCCCCCCCCGGGGAAACACGGTACATAGTCGACCTGGCGACAGGCCGTTTTGTGTGTATCTCAACAGCAGTACTTGATGACGATAGTGACTCCGAAAGCGTTCATAGGTGCTCAGTACTTCCATCTTTAACTCAGACATCAGCATCCTGGGACATAGCGGGACCGATCCTATCAAAGATAACAGGACCGTGCATCAGGGCTTCATTTATTATTACTATTATTATTATTATTATTATTATTATTATTATTATTATTATTATTATTGTGGAAAGCAACGTGAAACTACCACATTACTATCCTAAGAAACTCATCATGGAAGCCACAGGATATAAGTGACTCCTTGAGTATGAAAGTGCATGAGGCGGGTGAGCTGGCGAGAGACCGAATTTCTTTCAGGCAGACCTTGATGAGAGCGACGTTCTGCAAAGGAGCTGCTACATTATTATTATTATTATTATTATTATTATTAAATCTGGCAGCACAAAACGGTACCCAGTACCAGCATTTTTAAAGGCATCACCCCCCCCCCCCCCAACCCCCTTTCCTCAGCACGATTGTAAGTGGCGCTTTTTAGGGAGTATCGACAACTTTTAAAAAGACATCATTTGGTGAATACGTGCACCTTTTTATCTTTAAAAAAAAAAAAAGCTCTGTTTCGCAAACATCTGGCGGGCCTCTTTCATTCTTGGCTGCACGAACTAAATTCTCAAAATCACACTCTAAGCAACGACATGAATGCGATGCTGCCAAAGTTTCCGAGTCATCTCTTTCTCTCCCCCCCCCCCCTCTCTCTCTCTCTCTCTCTCTCTCTCTCTCTCTCTCTCTCTCTCTCTCTCTCTCTCTCTCTCTCTCTCTCTCTCTCTCTCTCTCTCTTTCTCTTTCTTTGTCTTTATCTCTAGGCAATAATAATGTCAGCGTCAACCTTACGTTTACTAGAGACATCTAAGCTGTCGACTCTTTCATTGTGGTGAACGCCTGCATATACAAGATCATAGACGAAGATGCCTCAACTAACAATGATTGACTCAGTCCGCGGCATGCATAGGGAGCCTGCATTGACGTGTCGAATCTCTTCATATTAAAATTAAGTCTAGCCAAAAATAAACTATTCGACCTTTTCAAAATGTCATCATTTTCATCTTGTTTTTTTTTTGTGTTTTTATCTTTCAGAATCACAGACTTCGATGAATCTGAGCAGAGATATCAGGTAACGGGTGTGAAATTGTACGTCAATAATGTGCTGTTCCGTGCAACTTCGTCTGTTTTTCGCTTCAGATATTTCTAAATGGGCAGTTTATTTGTTTCTCATTCTGTCTGTTATTGTGTTATGCTCAGTTATTAGTTTGTATTTAGTTTTCAAAGTGGTCTTCTTGATTTCTTTCTGTCTTTTTTCTTTTCTTTCTTTCGTTCTTTCTTTCTTTCTTTCTTTCTTTCTTTCTTTCTTTCTTTCTTTCTTTCTTTCTTTCTTTCTTTCTTTCTTTCTTTCTTTCTTTCTTTCTTTCTTTCTTTCTTTCTTTCTTTCTTTTTCTTTTTTTTCCTTGTCAGCTTGTTTGTGTGTCTCATTTCTTTCTTAAATCTGCCCATACATACGTCATCTTTCTTTCTTTCTTTCTTTCTTTCTTTCTTTCTTTCTTTCTTTCTTTCTTTCTTTCTTTCTTTCTTTCTTTCTTTCTTTCTTTCTTTCTTTCTTTCTTTCTTTCTTTCTTTCTTTCTTTCTTTCTTTCTTTCTTTCTTTCTTTCTTTCTTTCTTTCTTTCTTTCTTTCTTTCTTTCTTTCGTTCTTTCTTTCTTTCTTTCTTTCTTTCTTTCTTTCTTTCTTTCTTTCTTTCTTTCTTTCCCTCTTTCTTTCTTTCTTTCTTTCTTTCTTTCTTTCTTTCTTTCTCCTGTCTGCCTGACTTTCTTTCAAACATTCTTTCTTTTCTGTCTGACTTCTTTCTTTCTTTCTTTCATTTTTTTTTTAAATATTTCATATTTTGTTTTGTTGTAAATCTTTGCATCCTGACCAAATACTCGTACACATTATATTGTCAAATGTAAAACGTAAACTTTATTATCTTAGTCGTAAAACGGTTTTTTTAAATTATTAATATGGTGAAAAAATAACGTCAAAGGGCCAAAAGTCAAGTAAGGGCGAGAATAGATACGTTTTTTAAATACTCGTGTAATCGCTTGAAATGTAATGGTTTTCCTTTGCTTGATTCCTTTTGCTAAATGATTATTGTCCAGCAAAGCTAGGCTCTCCTGCGGGAAACTTGGGTCAATCCTAGGGAAGCAGTATCGTTTTTCAGTTCTTTATTTCGTCGTTCTGTCCATATTTCATCTTGCTGTTCCCTATTTCGTCTTGCTGCTCCCTGTTTCGTTTTACTGTTCCATTTTCGTCTTCTTGTTCCATATTTAGTCTTGCTGTTCCCTCTAACCCTTAAACATACAGAGGAAAGCTACTTGAATTATATACCTATTGCTTGCGCCCTCAGTCCCCAGATAATAGTATTTTAATCATGTTGTACAATACCCCTAGATTATCATTATACTAGACGTTATTAATGTTTAGAGACGTAGGTATAGTTAGTATACCTGCAGTATTTATTTCTCTAACCAGTCTTCCAACTATATGTGTTTTCTTGCCCGGCTCTCTAGCGTAGTTGGCTAAACCGGATTGCGCGGTGAGCGGGTGATGAACTCTTTGTGGTCCGGGTTCACTCCCGGGGGTAGGCAGAAAAGCCACATTTCTCTCCTAAATTTACGGTATTTACAATGGAATCAAGGCCGAAAGGTTGCGATATCCATAATACCGAGCCGAAGGGTTAACACCTCATGGCTTCTGGATACTAAAACAAACAAACGAACAATGTGTTTTCTTAGCTAGTTGCATCTCCAGTGTTCATCGGTCTCTACCTCGTTTTGCGCAGATAGCATCCTCCATCGCCGTTCTATCCAGGCCACTGTGGCGTTTAACATATCCAAAATACCCCAGCTTCGGGAACAGGATCCTCTTGATGAGCCAGTTCTACCAAATAGCACCCTGTCCCGAAACATGGTCAGAAGAAATAGTTTCAAAAGTAAAATATATGGGAATATATTGCCAGAAACTGTCCGGTTTGAATGCAGGCTAATCCGTCATACATTGTGGTATTACAGGCACATCCATTCTTCCGAAAACAACAAAAACATCACACAGGAGTCCACCCCTGTGGCTCCCATTGCAGCGGCTGTAGCACCAAGCTTGATGGTCGCGGGTGAGTTCTGTACAATATGCATTGCAGATTATATAGGGTGCATGTTTAATGACTGTCGATTTATTTAAATCAGTTACTGCACATGGTAATTGAATTTGTGTAATACGTCATATTTCAAGCGCCCTGTAACCGGTATTACTGCTGTATGCCGGGTAGGTAGGTGTACCACACCAGAACATCACACAAGCGATAAACACCAGCTGACACAAAGTGCCACCTAGCGGATGAGGACCACCCGTAGAGAGATCCCGGTAACCCCTTTCAGCTGTTAGGCCATATTTCAGGCCCGGCTAAATTCAGGGCCCCCGGCAGAATCCAGGATGGGGCTTTAAAATAACTAAAACTGCATCCCTAAAGGGGATGGCGATGCGTATGTGTATAGGGGTTTGAGGAAATTATCTTAGCCTTAATAGTGTTAACTGAATTATGAGTTGCGATTTATGATTTAGGTTAGGTTATCGTCACGGCACTCTGGACACGTCCATAGGTGCTCAGATTTCCTCTTCACCATATATACATCAGCGTCCCGCGGTTGATATTCCTAGTCCTATGTTGGTTGACAAGACTTCTGGTGCGTCCAGTGTGCTTCTCGTGCCTGGCTATGCCGATCTTTACTCCCAGTTCTTGCACTTTTAGCAAAGATATTAACATGCTGCTCCCTAAATCCTACCTCTCTTATGACTTTAGTAATGTCGACATGATCCATGGGTCGGCCATCTGTAACTAAGACCGAGCCGGCTAATCTGTCGGCTCTTTCATTGCCAACAAGACCCGCATACCCTTGTACAAAGATGAAGGTAACTCCACGCACAGTGGAGTTTTGCAATGATTCAATCCACTGTCTGCGTACAAAGCCCGCCTTAACCCGCCGGATCATGCTCATGGAATCACTCAGCACACACACATGAGAATAATCCTGCGATGCTAGCCATATGAAAGCTTGTGTTACCGCCATCACCTCTGTTGTCATGCTGCTAGTAGTCACACAGAAGGCACCACTGGTCTCCTGAATTGTTCTGCCTGCAGAGCACGCTGTAAATGGCCGTGCACTTTTTTATTCTCATGCAACACACCCATCTGTGTAAGATGATTTTACAAATTGAAGAAAGGGTATTTTAGTTGAATATATGTTCTTTTGCGGTGGCAGTTATTCAAATATGGTTGTTCAACAATTTATGATGCCATTTCCTGAAACTCAAGTGCAAAATTCTACTGTTAGCAGTTCAACCAACAGAAGCGGTTGTGAATAGAGCTGAAATGTAGAAAACACTAACCAAAATAAGAGGCATTGTAGCAGTGTATGTTGCATTAACACCACAGACGGTGATTACAAAAATGAGAACGGCAATATTTGTAAAAATACAGTCATTAAAAATACACCCTGCATAAGCCAGTCGGCGACTACGGCTTAGACATTGAAACGAGCGTTGTATGCCGGGTTCGATCGCAACTGCAGGTGATTTGGCACAAGACCACATTGCGTTGGTTTCGACAGTAATATCAAGATCCGGTTGTTTAGAAAATAGTGACAAATTACCGAACGTAAAATTGCCTGGTTCAGTCTCTTTCGGCCAAAAATTCCGGGCTGGTTCTGCAACAAATAAAGGACACGCAACTAATTTGTGTAAACAGAAAGACATGATAGTGAGTCTGCGATTGCCCTGGTAAACCAAGTGGATGCTTTTTAGAATGGTTGAATTTGTACTTGAGTTGTAAAGGATTCACTTATTTGCTTTATTCCGTTTAAGTGTTACAGCAGAATGCACCTAACGAGCAACATCCAAATATAATATAACAGAACCCAAGGCCCATTAGGGTAGTGGGGGTGTATTGCTAGAAGCACTAGCACTTGAAACCCGCCATCTTTCTCTGATTTCCGCTTGATGAATAAGTGGATGATAACTTAGTCCTGTCCTTTACCGTTAGTTTTTCTTCTGTGGCTAAGTTATCGTTAGTTGTTCATGGTTTTCCTGTACGTTTACCATGGATTTCCTGTACGTTTACCATGGTTTTCCTGCACGTTTACCATGGTTTTCCTGTACGTTTACCATGGTTTTCCTTACGTTTCCCCATGATTTTCCTGTACGCTTACCATGGTTTTCCTTACATTTACCATGGTTTTCCTGTACGTTTACCATGGTTTTATTCTCGCAGATAGTTAGTCTTTCCTCTTGAGCCTGAGGCAGCGCGTAGGGCATAGGTCAAAGCTCTGCATGTGTGGCATGTTCGTTGCCACTTGTTTTAGGTCTTCAATGTTTATTAGACCCATTTTTTAGTCTTTCCTAGTGATGTTTCTACGCATGGTCTCTTTTAGTCTTCCCCGTTTTCTTTTCCCTTCCGGTGTTCATAAGAGAGCTTAATCGGGGAGTCTTTGTCTTATCCATACTGAGCGCATAGCCGATGTGGTTCCAGCGGATACAATTGGATGCATTATCATGCTTGGTCTCTTGTCTTATTTGTGTGTTGGATCTGAAATCTGTGCAGTGGAGAGTCTGTATTCTTCTAAGACATTCTTCTTCTTCAGAATTCCGAGCCCTTGAGGTTCATTGCTGCAGATATCACCCGCCTCCATTCATCTCTCTTTTTGGCCTTCTTTTTTCGGTTGGTGACACCAAATGTTTCCAGGTCTGCCTGGACATTATCTCTCCATCGTCTTCTTGGTCTGCCTCGTGGTCTACGACCATTCATATTCCTTGTGTATACAGTTTTTTACTTCTCTGTCATCTGACATTCTTTCAATATGCCCCAACAATTTCAGTTTATTAGCACTCATGATGCTAGTGATCAGAGGTGATTTGAACATATTATGAATTTCGTTGTTGCTTCTCACTCTCCACTTTTAAGACATTTGTTTTTGAATTTTTTTCTTCTTTTTTTTTTCCATTTAGAGCTACAGTGAGCGGTTTAGAAAAAAAGATCGTTTTCATGACTTTTAAACAGTGATAGGAGAGCTGCAGCATGGAAGAGATTGAGGTCTGGACAAATGACATTCCCATGATTCTAGTGAATACATTGCAAGCAACCTCTGTTGTATACTTTCCCGCCCCTTCCTCCCATTTTTCTTACAGAGAAAACAAACACATTATATTTATTCTAACTATCTCATTATTATCTCCATTATTACAGGTCATTCAGTCAACCCGTCACCATGGATACCACAAGTGCCCTTCCACATTCACCCAGCTTTGAACTCATCTGGAGCGACCTTTGACCCGAGCTTTCCTATAACAGCCCCATGTGGCTATAAATTTGCCCATGATTCATTGACAGGACAGTTTTTCATTGTCCCCACTGGAGGTAACTCATCTGCAACTGGGGGGAAATAAAATTATGGCCTAGTTAGGTTACCAGAGAATTGAAATTACTGAGCCCAAATTGCAGATTATTTTACAAGGGCTGTCTCTTTTCAACCCTGCCTCCTTTTTGTACCCCAATAACCCCCTCCCCCCTACACTCATCCTTGTGTCAGAACATTTTATTTTGCTTGGTGGTTAGAGTGTCTTTCATGTCTGTCACTTATTTGGTTACTGTTCTGCTTTGATCTTTAGAAGTTAATGATGCTTTGTCTCCATGTATGGGGTTCTGGGACCCCATTGTAGTGGGGTGGGCGGAGGGGGGGGGGAACTACTAAGTCGACTAATTGGGGGAACTACTAAGTCGACTAATTGAGGGAACTACTAAGTCGACTAATTGGGGAAACTACTAAGTCGACTAATTGAGGGAACTACCAAGTCGACTAATTGAGGAAACTACTAAGTCGACTAATTGAGGGAACTACTAAGTCGACTAACTGGGGGAACTACTAAGTCGACTAATTGGGGGAACTACTAAGTCGACATACTGGGGGAACTACTAAGTCGACTAACTGGGGGAACTACTAAGTCGACATACTGGGGGAACTACTAAGTCGACTAATTGGGGAACTATTAAGTCGAATAATTGGGGGAACTACTAAGTCGACCAGTTGGGGGAACTACTAAGTTGACTAACTGGGGGAACTACTAAGTCGACTAATTGGGGGTGTTTACTTTGGAATCTAAGTACATTTGCATGAGAAGCGAGGAACCAGCAGTCTGCCTAAAAAAAAAAAAAGTCAGATCTGCAAAATGTATGTGCACATAAAGCTCTACAGGATTAAGATGGACGCCTAGAAGTGGATGTACACCCAGAACTTTCCAGAATTTACAGCTGGCGCACTGGAAGAAGTAGATGGATGCTTTTAAAAGTTTCATGATACTCAAGAACAAGGTTTCGTTAAACAATTTTTTCTTATGGTTGTTAATAGTGGTATGACGGTCACAACATAGAAGACTTTAGCAGTTAATATTACAAAAAATAGCAGTCCCTGCACTGTAGCCAAATTTCATTGTGGATGGGGCAGATCATATTTTTCTTAGCATTTTTACGTTCCATTGTTCACTAACAAAATCTGAACAATAAATAAATGAAAAGTGTTAAAATGCGCATTTAAAGACAATAATTTTTTTTCTCAAACGGAAATAGAATTGCCCCCCTCCCCACACTTCTCTCTCTCTCTCTCTCTCTCTCTCTCTCTCTCTCTCTCTCTCTCTCTCTCTCTCTCTCTCTCTCTCTCTATCTCTCTCTCTCTCTCTCTCTCTCTCTCTCTCTCTCTCTCTCACACACACACACACACATTTTTAGTTTTAGTTTTTTTAAAAGGCTTTTAATTCATTTAATCTTAGGGAGGTTACTTTAACCCATTTTGCCTTAGCATGACGTTACTTTAACTAACATAGAATTGTAGATATGAAGTAAAACACTATGTCCTAGCAGCAAAAGCGTTAAAGTACCAGGGTTAAAGTACCACACCACATCCACCCAGTTATAAACTCATGACCTTTAACCTGAGTTTTTCCTTTAACACCTCCAAATTGTTACTTAGTGATAACAACAAATGTCAGTACACACTAGCTCACTTCTGATTGATAGTTTCTGAGCCCCAGTGACAGTTAGGAAGGTGTTCCGCAATGCTGCTGATATCGCGTGTTGTATATTTCAGCATGCCAGGGTTTTTAACACTCAAAAAACATGGAGAAACTGGTTCCAACACAACTCCCCTAGAAAGTGCTGCAACCTGTGTCACAGGCGTTCTCTTTCTCGGAATGAAAACGTAAATGCAAGATATTGCAGAAACAGAGCGGGACACACCCGTAACTCTTAGGAAAGTCGACCAGCCCAACAAACTTGTGAATGAAAAGTGACCTACTCTATTTAGGGAGGCTAACCTGGAACTAACTCAAATGTCAGATACATAGGTCATATATATTGATTAAGAAGACCCACCCACACTTGACTACAAGTTACTTGGTAACTGGTTTGTGGGACCCTAGTTAAACAGGGTTTTCAGGATTTGAACCTGTTTGATTCTTATCCCAAGTCCTGTGGTGCCAGAAGATTTGGCAGCAAATCCCCAGGTGGGACAACAATTGTGAATGCTAAGACAGAGACTTAACACAATGAAGTGGCCACTTGGATAGCCATATTTCCTGAATATGGTTTGACCAAATGTAAAATGTAAAAGCAAGACATTATTTGTTGGATATGACTCATACGGGTTATCCCATAACACACTATATGTTGTTTGAAACTGTAACAGTTAATCCTACAGACTGTAATCCTGTAGGGGAAAACAGCACAACCAGTCTGTTAGTGTAACTGTAGGATGTCACATAAAGTGTTTAGAAAATTGTATCAGATGAGCATTAAGCTAACAATGCATGGAACTGAATGAGTTTTGTGGAAACGTTGATAAGAAGACTTTAATGATAAATTAGTAAGCTAGTGGACATGTCATCCTCATTGCACATTGAACCATTCAGTCCACAAGTGCTTGGAGCCCCTCAGTAAATCCCATAATCCTTAGTATTTGGCAGCACCAGTTCTGTGTTGGTTTATTATTCTTCTTTGGCTTCCTGATTAGTGTTCTGATCTGGCTACATCCTTTTTCAATTTATGTTTTCAATTACAAAAGACAGTGAAGTTCATACTAGAGAAAAAAATTGCAGAGATAGATAATATATTTCAAGCGAATGAAAGAAGGAGATGAAGAATTTATATTTTTTGAAGTCTGGTCATGGTTGCAGGTCTTCACTTGATTCTCATAATTGTCTAACTTCTCAGAGAACAGTTAGTGAATCAGCTTGGTCAGTTGCTTGTCCTTCCTTGACAGTTGTAGCCTATCAGCTTGCTCAGTTTTTGTTACACCTGCATGTCTACATAATTGATAAATATACTTATACAATTATATACATCAGATATACAAATTGTTAAATTACCTACATTAAATATATTTTTTCTATTATTCATCAGTTATCATTAAAAAACACTTTAATGGTAAATTTGAGAGAAATACATTTGATGTAAATAATTTAGTAATAAGTATATTTGATGTACATAATTTAATCATAAGTGTATTTGCAGTACATAATGTAATAACAAGAATATTTAATGTATAAAAACGTAAAATAAATATACTTAAAATACATAATTTAATTTTTTTTTAAATTTGAACAAAATTTAATTATAAATATAATTGATATAAATAAATTAAAAATAAATGTTGAAAAAATGATTTGACATTCATAGTTTAAAAATAATTATATTTCGTGTATATAATTTAATAATGAATATGATTTATATTCAAAATTTAATTATAAATAAGACTGTTATGCATAAATTAATAATGACTATATTTGATGTACTTACTTTAATAATAAATATATTTAAGATATATACTTTAGTAATAAATATATTAATCAATTTTAGCTAAAAATGTATATTGATGTATATAATTTTACCATCTAAAAAAATGTTTTACAAATTGCTGGACTAAATAACACTGCATGAGACACATGAGACACAACATCTGTGAGGATTTTTGTGTATGTCCTCTTTGCTCTAGATTTTGCTGAGCAGGGAGGTGTGTGGCCAGCTGCAAGTTTTCCTCCTGCTCCAGGAGCACACTTTCAGTCAAGTATTTCTGTTCCAGCCGTAAATATTAGTGGACCAGAGGCAAAAGGTGGACGGCCAAAACCAGAGGTGAGATTTCGAGAGTTCACAGTAACCCTTTATTTTACCAATGCTAAATGGGGACAGTTAGTTAGTTAGTTAGTTAGTTAGTTGGGTTATCCTCATTGCACTCCGGACATGTCCATAGGTGCTCAGATCCTCCCCTCAGTATGAACCCCAACGTCCGATGGCTAATAGTACCAGTTCTATGTTGATTAACAAGTCTTCTGGCGTAGCTGGTGTGCGTCTCGTTTTTTGCTGTGCCGATCTTAATTCCCAAGTCTGCCATTCTGGCGAGTGATGTGGATTCACTGCCACCAAAGTCCTCTATTCTTCCCATTTCTCTGAGGGCATTGATAATATCAGCATGATCCATAGCTGACCGTCGGTAGTGATAGCGGATCCAGCCAACTGTCAGCTCTTTCATTTCCAATCGACGCCTGCGTGTCCCGGAACAAAAATAAAGGTGACTCCACGAACAGTGGACTTCTGTAATGATTCAAGCCATTGTCTTCGCACTGAACCTGCCTGAACCCTCCGGATCATACTCATTGAATCACTGAGTATACACACGCGGGTGTATTTTTTGTGTTTCAAGCCAGGCAAGCGCTTGTGTCACTGCCATCACCTCCATCGTCATGCTGCTGGTTGTCATGGAGAAGGCGCCGTTGGCTTCTTTGACTGTTTCTGCCCGCTGAGCGTGCTGTAAATGCCCATGCGCTTCTTCTTTGGCGTATAACGGATCCGTCTGTATAGATTATTGCATCTGCTTCGTCTGAATTTTCACCGATGAGAGCGTTGACCTCTGCATTAACAGCAACAGGATTCTCTTCTCTACATCGCCTGTTGAGTGTGACAATACAGGAAAATGTACAAATAAACGCCTGAGGCACAGGTATCCATTCTGCACCAGATATGATGTCGGTTAGGCTGCATATTTGCCTAATAACATCTTCTGCCCGACCTAGCCACGATTTCCCCCTCTTCAGTCTGTCACCCTTTTCACTAAAAAGTGCTTGATGCAGTGGGTGTTTCTTATCAGCGCATATTTTGAGATATGCCCGAGCCCTCCACATCCTGATCCTTTGGTTCATTGTTGGAAAGTCAAGTAGATACCTCATTGCTCCACAGGATGTGTCTCTAGTACATCCCAAAATAATGCGCATGGCTTCATTTTGCACCTTTTCGAGTCGTTCAGTCTGGGTAGCACTGACAGTAATGGGGACAATAACAACAAAAAGAAAAAGTAAAGAAAAACAACTGAAGTAAAGATAACCATAAGATAGTGCACTACAGAGAGCCCAGTCAGTTAGACACAACAGAAGCAAAGCTAAACGACACTTACGGTAGGAGAGTATATTTCAGAGGCAGTGAAACCAGCATCTACACAGTACACACCAAGGTTCGCTCTAGACGCCTCTTCAAAACATGATGTTGAAAAGCAGAATAGGGGCTAGCGCTAAAAAGAAAAAGCCAGTTGCCATATTTGTATGAGGCTGCCAACATTAGAAGCCTATAAAAAAAAAAGGTAAAATAACCATTTTCAGAGCCTGAATATTTCCTGAGGCAACATACTGATGCCAGTAGTGTAAAATTTCACTGTCACTAAAGAAGAAAATAAGGCTTTTGCATGTAGCGGTTTTAGAATATTTCTTACAGGGTTGTGAATCCATAAATAGATAATATGTCAGTATTTTACAATCTCTGAAAATAGAAAACTGATCTGTAAATAGGAGATAGCTGTTTGAGAGAGAGAGAGAGAATGATAGAGAAAAAAGAAGAGACAGGTGAGGGGGAAAAACCCCTAAGAAGTGGAGAGAATGAAGAGAGATAGATTGAGAATGACTGAGAAGAACTGACATTGGTTTTATGTCAGTGTTACTTAACAAGTGAGAATACACTAAGTGTGGGGTTGGGTTAGGGCCCCATTTTCGGAGGAAAAAAAATAGATCCACAACCTTTTTGAACAAGCATGTCCCAGAAGGCAAATAGTTAAAGTATGCTGAAACTGGATTTGTTGTGCCAGAAAGAATAGATGTTACAGATTACCTGCAAACCACAACACAACCTACCAGCCATCCACTTAAGAAGAAGAAGAAGAATATTATCCTATACACATATAGTGGAGTAGTTACGTTTGTTTGTGCAGTAAACTAAACCAGATAAATGGGTTGAATGGATGTTGCAGAAGTGAATCTGTGCATCATTTTAGGAAATTAGTAAGGACAACTAACCATGTCAACAAATGACTAAAGAAGTGGCAAATCTAATGGTGTTCTCTGAACTGACTGACTTTCTACCCCACCAGGACATGACACAATGTGCCACCATGTGGGTGAGGATCACAGTGGAGAGATCCCAGAAACCGCATTCAGCCTTTAGGCCATATTTATGGCCAGGCTATATTGCAGCCCCTGGCAAAAGCCAGAGTAGGGCTTCAAATAACGAAAAATTCCATCGTAAAAAGGACAGGAAATAATTATGGGCATCCTCTGAATGTCGAACCTTGGGGGGACACAATCGATTGTAACTTCACATTATTTTAACTACCGACCTTAGGGCACGTAATCCATTGTTTGTGAAAGTTCACATATTAATAACATTCTTTCATATTTAATATTCTTTGAGATCAGGGTTAGAGTTGGGGCTAATCCTAACCCGAATCCTTACCTTAACCTGAAGCAATATTAAATATTACAGAAAATCATTATGTAAACGTACACAAACTATGGATTTTCTCCCTTATGGTCGCAGTAAACAAACAGTAAATTGTTTCCCCCTAAGGTCGCCATTTAGTGTAGTGCTGAAATAAAAAAAATAAAAAAAAGACAAGGAAGAAATATGAACATCAGAGCAATGCTACATTTAATGTATCCGGCGGAAAGAATGGAATCTCATTTTCCAGTCTTAAGCCATTTTGTTCTTTATCATTAATATTATTTTAATGTTTCTGATGAACTTCTCAATAATAGAAAAAAAAAATGTATTCCTAACATTTTTGTCCTTTCACTTTTCTGTTTCAGAGAAACAATCCTGCAAGATGTGCGGTTTCAGGAAACACTCTAGGCAGTGTCATTTCAGATCAGGATATTACCTCCAAGGATCCATCTGGGATGATCAAAGGTCACCAATTTTAATTTTAATTTCAGTATATTGTCATCTGTTGCAGTGTTCCAGTTTTTAAATTTTCTCATAATATGGCCTCAGAATGACAGCTCCCTTTCATGCAGTAGGTTGTATTTTAATATTAGCCCCTTTCGACAAAAATGGAGGAGCTGGATCGGTCATCATGCTGCAAGATGGGACCACAGTAGAAACGTCATGCGCCTCCGGAAGACTCTCAACAAACTTCAGAGCAGAGCAGCAAGCAATTATTGATTCAGCCAAAGTGCTCAAGGAAAGAAAAATTAAAAACAGCAAAATTGTTTTCCTTTGTGACTGCTTGTCAGTCCTCCAGGCGACTCATAGGGATCCACGAGACAACATAGAAAGAGAACTGACCCATCAGCTAAACAAACTCACAGAAAACAATCAAATCGTTCTCCAGTGGATCCCGGCTCACTGCGGCATACCAGGAAATGAGCTAGCAGACAAACTTGCAAAAAATGGAACAAAGAAGAAACAACACGCCCATTCATTGTCATTACCAGAAATCAAAACACTTATCAAAGGAAAATACCAAGGATTGTGGAGAGAACAAACCAACAGTAAACATCCACAAGACCCTATCAGCAGACTCAACAGAAAGCAACATACAACAATTTTCCGTCTACGAACAGGACACTGCAGGCTCAACTACCACATGCATAAAATAAAGATTGTGCAGTCCCCACAGTGTGCCTGTCAGACAGGACCACAAACACCTCAGCACATTCTGCAGACCTGCCCACTCTACCTGCAACTTCGAAAAGACACCTGGCCTCAAGAGCAGAGTGTGCAGAGCAAGCTATGGGGAACCATGCAGGACCTGCAGCTGACATGCGAGTTCATAGAGGCAACCCACCTGATGGTCTGATCTGAGCATACGAAACCGAACGCAAAGAAGAAGAAGAAGAAAACATTGACTCATTTTAGTATTTAAGGAAGATAATTTTAGGTATTTTTGAAAGTTTCATCAGAATTGTCATATTTATGATTCTATTTTGGAAAGACCAAATGAAAAGTGGAGCTAGTCAGCAACACATTATCACACAGATGACAAGTAGACACTTTGGCATGAGAACCTTTGTCAGCACATTATATAAATAGACATTTACAACTATGAGAACACACACACACACACACACACACACACACACACACGCACGCACGCACGCACGCACGCACGCACGCACGCACGCACGCACGCACGCACGCACGCACGCACGCACGCACGCACGCACGCACGCACGCACGCACGCACGCACACACACACACACACACACACGCACACACACACCATTATCACTTAAATGAATTATCTCTGAGATAAATCCACATGTCTTTCCGGCCAGTTGAAGCTCTGACACATGTGTGAATGCAGAAAATGAATACTATCCATGAAAGGTTGTAGAAGGAAAGGGTTATAACTAACAAAAAATATATTAAATAAAGCTGTGTTGTACTTAAGTTGCTAAAAAATTAAATTAGCTTCTTTTTACTCTGACAGGTTATGGTCCCATCAATGGACATCCTTACCCAGATGAAAACAGTAGCACTTCAGCACTGAAATCAGCAAGTGGAAATGTGACAGCAGCTGCTGTAACTTCAGCGGCGAGTCTACCTTCCGTCTTACAAACTGATGTTTTAAAAGTGACACCACCAGTGTTAGAAGACAGAGGTTGTTCTCCTGTTGTTTTTGAAGACATCTCAACATTGTTATCATCACAGCATCAAACATTAAAGAATGTGACCAGCTGTACTGTTGAAACACAGACATGCAATGAGTTTGTGAAATCAAATATCACAGAAAAGTTATCAGCTCCTAGGTTAATTCTTCAGGATCAAGCTGTTCAGGCTTCCTTCCCAGACATTTCTGTACTGAATCCACTTTCAGTGCAGTGTCCTGACCATGATTCTGTTGATGTCTTGACCAGGTCACATGAAGTGAAGACTAACACTGATCGAGCATCCTACAATCCCTTTACTGACCCTCAGATTCTGCAAGCTGCTGATGGCCTTGAACTTCTGAGCACTCTTGCAGAGAAAAGGACCAAGTGTTCCTCTTTCGATGACCCGAAAAGGATATTTCCTTCTCCTAGCGACTCTTTTAAGTCTGACTGTGCCAGCATTGTAGCTACAGAGGAGACTCTGTCACCAGAGGATACAGAGCCAAAGAGTGGTCAGTGCACACCAAGAAGGGACTTCAGGAGAGATTTATCACCAAAATGGTCAATCCCTAAGAAAGAGCTTCAGACAAGCTCAATATTTGCAGATTTCAAAACTCCTACAGGTAATTATGTAGACATTTTAACTCATCTTATATGATGACTTGTTACTGTATAATTGTAATCAAAATCATTGCTAACATCATAAATCACAGCTGTTTATCTTGTGTATTCATCACATTAATTGTTTACCTGATATATTCGTCATAGTCATTGTTGACGTCATACGTTTATCCGAATCAGGGCTTTTCCCACCTGATAACATTCAATGTTACACAATACAAGCCTTTTTTTTTAGGCATCGTTTTTTTCAACGGTACTGTAACAGACACTTTGTTGTAAGTACTGGCACAATTTTTAGACACTCTATGGTAAGTATATGCACCTTTCTTTTTTTATTTTTAAGGATGAAATCCTTGATTACAGTTAATTGTTACTGCATGTACTCATCAAATTCATTATTTATTTCATATATTCATCACACTGATTGTTCCTCCCATGCTGCGTTGCACTGGTAGTCATGTCCTTCCACAGTCTTTGTCTTTTGTCTGACACAGACCATGCCATGATGTCAGAATATCCACACTGTTTTTTTCTCGGTCTCCTGGCCTCTTTCTCCCTCCAGTTTTCCCAGTGACATAATGTACTCCAGTTTTTTGCTTCTCATTAAATGACCAAAGAATGTACATTGTTTTCTTCTTGTGAGGGGAATCAGTTCTCTTCGTGAGTCAGTGTTTTTCAAGACATCTTAATTACTCTTTTCATCTATCCAGAGTTAATAATTGTTTGCCTCATATATTTACAAAGTTATTTTTTGCCTTTTTCATTGGGATTGTTTTATGTTAAAAAAAAAAGTCTGCAAAAAAGTATGTGAAAAATGTCTGTGCAAAAATGTCTGAGCTAACCTTAGACTAAAAACAATAATACACCCTTGCTATGACAAACTTTTGTCGATGTTAGTCAAATATTCTTCTTAAGCAGGATTGTGTTGATGGGGTTTTACTGCAATAACCCCCCTCCCCTCAGCACCACCTCCTACTTTATTTATTTATCATAATGATTGTAATTCTTCTTATTAGCTTCATAATCAAACAAGTAATGTAGGAGAGCAATTCATATTTGCGTGACAAAAAAAAAAAATAGTTCTGCCTTGATGTAGATTTTAAACTTTGACCTTCCAGCTAACAGGCAAGTGTCTAGCCACTACGCTGCCCCGACTTTACAGAGAAAGCAGCATCCTTATGTCTGTGGTCTTCAGCATGTGTTTTCACTCATAAAATATTAGTTAGGGGTAAATTAGCTAGCTCAGACAAATTGAAATTACAAAGCTATGGGACTAGGCGTTTAGTAAGGCATGAGTGGTGAATCAGTACATAAAGGGTTAATTACATATGATTTTTGAATTCTTTAATCTTTACTGCTAATAACAAATGTTGATTTCTTTGCTCCCAGTTTGGCTTCTGGGGCCCCATTGTGGGGAAAACACGAATAGATCCACTGCTTCCCCCCAAAAAAGCATGTCCTAAGAATTAACTGTATATTCCGACTTTGAAGTCAGAGTGCATCTGCCTGAGAGGCAAGGAACCAACAATCTGCACACAAATAAATCAGATCTGTAAAACGGATATGCCTACAGAACTCAGGTTCTGAAACAAGACTAAAGTCGGGAGGTCGACAACCAGAACTTTCAGCCTAAGTTTACAGTCAGTGAATGTGAAGAAGAAGATTTGTAAGCCTAATTGATCTGTATCCAGTGAGTCTAGTTGGATGTTCATCACTAGATATTCTAAATTTGTTTGTGTAGATATTGAAATACCTGAGGAGTCTAAGATGAGGGTAAAGCTCGCCGAGGTACGGAGAAAGTATAAGGAGAAACAGAAGGAGTTGGCTAAACTGCAGAGCAAGAAATCTGAGTAAGTCATCGTGAAATTTACTTTCATTGTAACAGTTCTAATAAATGTAAGATATGATTTTTGAAAATCATAGTTTTTCAATGCAATATTTGAAACTCTGACAGTTATGAAAAATGTAAGGATTAGTGTTTGAAACTCTGATATATATACATAGGTATGAAAATAATTAAAACTCAGATAAAAAGAAGATGAGCATTATAATTATAATAACATATTGCATGAAATATATGAAATATCAGAGTCAAGTCTTGAGAAAAAAGTTGGCATAGAACTGTTTACTAAATTTTTCTTTAAAAAAAAATATTAAAAAAAACCAGAATCTTAAAATGTTTGACCATTTAGAGAGAATGCTTTTATGATACCATACCATATAAGGCATATATCAAAAGATCTTGGACGAAAAAGAGGAGAAATATTGACATCTAGAAAGATAATAAACAGCATCCTGTCTCAGATGCTGAAATATTTTGGTCATATCAAGCGCCACGAGAGATTGGAAAAGTTATAGCAGAGGACATGGTACCAGGAAGGAGGGGCAGGGACCAACACGAAGATGGGCACAGGATATAAGTGACTCCTTGAGTATAAAAAGAGCATGAGGCGAGAGAGCTGGCCAGAGACCGAGTTTCTTTCAGGCAGACCGTGATAAGAGTGGCGTTCTGCAAAGGACCTGCTACATGTTGAAAGGGATATAGAGCAGGAGGTGGATAAAAAACAGTATGAAAAGATAACATCAGAGAAATTAGAGCAGTATAATACATCAATGACTGAGGCAGCCATGAGAGTGAAAAGCAGAACTTTTACTTCCCTCTACACCCGAAGCAGTAAAACAGAAAGCGAAGAAGTACAATTATTCTTCATCAGACTGTAAAAAACATTCTTTCAACAAAATTAATGAGTCAGCTTTATCCAAAAAAGTGACTTCTACCAACAAAAATATGTTGCATGTCGACAGTTTTGCCTTGAAGATCAGTCAAATATGTAGGATTTCTGAAACCCCATTAATCAACTTAGTCTTGATTTTGACTCTTTACCAAGGAAGTTCTATAACTCTTTAAAATAATTCTGCCCATCACTAAATTACTTCCCTTTTGCAGTGGTGTTACATGATTTAGATAACATGAAAATGACTTGAAGACAAAAATAATAGGTCATAGTTTTATAATCTACAGTTGATAGCTAATTTTCAACTTTTAATTAGAATTTATAGGTGCTGCAGTGCCTCACTATTATGATATTAGCCTGCTGGTCCATAGGGTTTGAACACACATTCAGGGGGTCTAGCATCATGTGCCTGATTTGCCAGTGGTGTGAATGAGGTAATTTATCTATTACACTCTTATTAAAAAAAAAGAAAAAAAGCACTGGAGGGAAAAGTTGAAAGCAGACAAGCAAGAGGTAGACAGTGATACAGATGGAAGGGTAACATCAAGAGCTGGAAGAATAGCTTTCTCAGGGAGTGTACATCCAGGATGAAAGATAGCAGACTGGGGGTCCATTTCAATTGAACTTCATTGTGGAGATGGCACCTGGTGATTGAAGTATTGTTTAAGTGTTATTGACTGAAGTGTCACAAGAACACTAATCAAAACCTGTAGGAAAATAAATTTTATGCATGAAAAAAATAGGAAAGAGAAAAACAAGGAATTGTGGGTGTGAAAAGCTTGAAGAGCTGGGCAACAAATCATAATTTAAGCACAAGAAGTTTATTAAAATCTGAAGTGCTACAAAAGATGAACAGTCAGTTGATGTTTCTGCGGATCAGACATTTAGAAAGAAAAAAAAAGGAGTGGATTCTGGTCCTAACGAAGCCACACTATTTTCAAAAAATGACCCAGGCTTCCAGGTTGACCTAGCCTTGCTTCAGGTGCAGGTACAGTCCTAAGAAGTAAATGTTGCCAGCGTAATACTAACCATATCACCCACCAAGTGTCGAGTGGCTTATAAAATATAGGTCTAGCTCTGAATGCCTAGTTCGCCTGAAGGCATGAAAAAGGTTGTTTACTTTATTCTGTCCACCAGTCAGAGCTTCCTTGTTAGACCAGCTGTCAACCAAGGCTGGTCTACCCTGCCAGAAAATTAAGTTTTTTTTGTTTGTTTTGCATTTCCTCAGTAAGACTAGACTAGTATCCTCCCCAGAGTGCTTCTTCACCAGAGCCAAGGGGGCGCTCAGTCATATCTGACAAAGAGATTATTATTTAACTAGCATAAATTGTGAACAACTTGTTTTCTCAAATACATGTTTGTAATCACCAGAGAGGCTAAACCATCCAAAAGGGGACCAGGCAGGCCCCCCAAGAAGAAGCTGCATAATAAAAGGTCAGACGATGAGAGGTAACTAAAGATCAACATATTAGTGTGCCTGAATGTATGGTTATCACTGTACTTTTTCAGATCTGCCTGAATGGATTATGAGCCCCGGGGGGGGGGAAGAAGGACCTGCTGACCCTTAACAAGGAGGTCATAAAAGGCAACTAATTAAGGATTTGGTTACATCAAGTAGGTTTGACTGAAATGCACAAATATCATGGCCAAGTTGAAAACCACAACACAGTGTGCCAACTGCCACTTTGTGGTCTGATGCAGAAAAAGATTCAAAAGAACAAAGTAATTGATACACTATTGGATTTTGTGACAAGTTATTCACACATTATTTATGATGTGAGGTAATTAATTTATATAAGAGATATGCTCAGCGAGAATTAATTATAGATTCATATCTTATTTCTTCATTTTCTTTTTTCATGCTTGCCTTTTTTACTGCTTCAATCGTTGAGAGAGACTTATGGTTCTTCATCTTGCTCCTCCTGCTGTTTTGACTTGAAACGCATCATACTATTGCAGAGTTTATTTTGATTTGTCTAATTGTCCTTTACATTGCCATGGTCAAATACTTTTTATCAGTCCAGTTTTGTCTCAGTTTTTTCTTTACAGTAACAATAAATCCATTACCAGCATTCTAGACCTGGGGCAACTTTACCAGATTCCGTTGGCCAGGACTTTTTTGGGGTGACCCAGGATGCTGTCATGGCTACTGCAGCATTCTATTGGTGTAGGCCCACACTGCACTTTGCCCGGTTCTGGCAGTCTCTTACATTGTTCTGTTTTCCACCTCTCATGAAGTGGATGTTAGGTTGGGCTTTGAGAGGCAACTGTAGATCAGTAGTTATATATTGGTAACTTTAAATCAGTTAGTTTAGAACAGTAAAGACCAGTAGCTATAGATCAAAAACTATAAGTCAACTTTGGATCCATAGCTATAAATCAGTAGTTTTAGGTAAGTAAATATAAATCAAAATATGCAGATCAGCAACTGGATCACGAGCTATGGATCAGTAACTACCAATCAGTCTCTATAGATTACTAATTTTAGATCATTGACTATAGATCATTACATTTCAGTCTGTAAATGTAGATCAGAACTATAGATCAGTAGCTAGAAATCAGTAACTTTAGATTATAACTACCGATCAGTATCTATAGATCACTAATTATAGGTCAGTAACTGTAGATCAATACAGATTTCAGTCGGTATGTATAGTTTGGAACTATAGATCAGTAGCTAGAAATCAGTAACTTTAGATTATAACTACCAATCAGTATCTATAGATCACTAATTATAGGTCAGTAACTGTAGATCAATACAGATTTCAGTCGGTATGTATAGTTTGGAACTATAGATCAGTAGCTAGAAATCAGTAACTTTAGATTATAACTACCAATCAGTATCTATAGATCACTAATTATAGGTCAGTAACTGTAGATCAATACAGATTTCAGTCGGTATATATAGTTTGGAACTATAGATCACTAGCTATAAATCAGTAACTTTAGATCAGTACATACTTGAGAAATCATGTAACTAGATTATTTGCATGTAGTTCTACCTCATTTTGCTTGTTTTCATAATCCAGCTCTAGCAGTTCATCTAAAACAAAGGACCACCACCAGCCACTGAAAAAGAAAAGGCCAGCGGAGGAGCTTGTTGACAGAGTCTTTAGGAAGGTACTGTTTAGATCAGGACAGAGTCTTAAGGAAGGTACTGTTTAGATCAGGACAGAGTCTTTAGGAAGGTACTGTTTAGATCAGGACAGAGTCTTAAGGAAGGTACTGTTTAGATCAGGACAGAGTCTTAAGGAAGGTACTGTTTAGATCAGGACAGTCTTTAGGAAAGTACTGTTAAGATCAGGAGCATGTGTTTCTGAATTTGTAAACATATTTATGGGGTTGATGCTTGTCTCCAGGTTGGTGATGCCTTTATATATGTTTGTCTGGCAGTCAGTCTGAATATCTGTTGGTTTTATCTGTGTGTCTGTCCATCTTATCTGCAAGGGGTGATAGAAATATTTTCCTGTGGAAAAAGTTTAGGCAATTACCTACATTGAAATTAGTATGAAATTGAGTCTTTTTGTTCATTTTCACCCCTCAGGGCAGTACAGTTCAGCTTTCATGACTTTCTTGTCACCTTCCCAACGCTTTAATTGTAGAGATCTACTATCTAAATCCATGACAACATCTCTACTTTATTATTAAAATCCTGATCTTTCAGGTAATGATGTCTCTGAAGTAAATTCTTACTCACCCAATTTGACACCAAGGGACACCTTCGATTTTCCAAACATTGCCAGTATCCTGTCCTACTATTAATGTCACTTAGGGCTTGCCGTAGGTACTTACATTTCGTTGTGTCCTGTACAGTACTTTCGAAGTCCTGGATGGTTTCCGGTCCAATTCCTGTGGCATCTTTTTAAATGATGCGTGAATGGTTAAATGATGTATGAATGATTAAATGATGTATGAATGGTTAAATGATATATGAATGAAATAATCTATACAAAGAGTAAGGCCAAAAGGAAAGAATGTAAGACAGACCTGTGTGCCCAATTCTTAACTTTTGAGGATAAAGTTTATTCATTCATTTTCTCATTTCCTAGCATAAACAAATCTGATTTGCAGTAGTCATTGCTTACAGTATTTTAACTACTGGTAAATAAGATAGATATACAGGTTTACTGTTTTTAGATATGGCAAGTTTTTGCTTCTGACAGTAGTTTACTGTTGCATTTTCCTCCAAATGTAGACTGAAAGGATATAGTTCCATCACCCAGCATTAATTGCGTGTGCAGCTTTGGATCTGTTGTAACTGCTGCTTCAATTGATGAACTGCATCTCTAGTACCAAACTGTTTGTGTTGGTACTTCTTCATCTGCCTTATGCATTTAATGTGTGTATATGCTATTGGCTGGCCGAATTGTTAACCCTACCAGACCTGAGGCCCTGAACCTAACTGTCCCTATAACCTGAGCTCCTGGGCACTAACACGAAAAAACCAACATGATGTACAAAAAAATTAGTTATAGGCAAACAAGTGGTTAGAATAAGATAAAACTTGGAGACATTGTAGAAAATGGGTTTACCTTTCATCTAGCGCCAATCTTCCACCTTTGTGTGCCAATCCACCTAGTAGGATCAGTCTTGTTTCACAATCTTCCACCTTTGTGTGCCAATCCACCTAGTAGGATCAGTCTTGTTTCATAAAGTAAGCACCAGATGTTGCTGTTTGAGGGATAAGCCCCCTTCTCTTACTATCGATCTAGTTTTAAATCTATAATTTTCATAATTCTCCTCCTCACTCTAGCTCTCACTGACTGTGTCACTTCAACTGGGAACGTATTCTTCACAGTCTGAATAAACCAAAGTATCAATCACCTGTTGGACTGTGATAAGCCTAGACCTACGTCACTTTCTTGTCCAAGCTGCTCGTTTCATTAAAAATTTTTCCGAATTTTTTTCACATCAAACCACACAACGAAATCTCAACACATGTGGGAAGTCATTCATAATGACTAACAACGAAGTCTGATGGCAATTAGCTGGTTATTTTTAGTCTGTGACGCATATTTTTCACGTACTACGTAAATTCCAGGAAAATGGGGCCAGCGGTATAGCGGCTGGTTAGGAAATTCCCGGAAAATCGGGCCAGCGGTCTGGTAGGGTTAAAGAATGTTGGACTCTTGTGTGGAGACCCAAGCTCAATTTCTCAGCAAGGTTGTGGATTTTTATGTAGGGTAAAAATAAAATCCTAACTTGTACAGTCTGCAGTGACAGTATTGGCCACACAGCCCTGAATCCTCAGACTCAAAGCTCCCATTCCCTGGCCCACACCACAAAAGTGGTAAAAACAGACCATAATGACAATTATTTTGCAGATTACTATTGGCTCTGCCATCCAGGCCAATTTTTTCACCCACAAAGTACATTGATGGACATTTTATAAGTGTTTCATTGGTACAGGAATGGAGCAACTGTGGGAGGACATATTTGCTATGAAGCTGGAACTAGGATTACCTGATTACCTGAATTCCAGCCAAGCGATACTTCCCAGGACAATTCCTAGTACCCATTTGAGACATTTCCATGGAAACCCAATAATAATACAAATATATCTTGGTGTGGATTCAGACCCAAGACTTTTGATCCACCAGGCAAGTGTCTAGTCACTGAGCTACCACATGTGACTCTCATTTGTCAAACTACATCTTTTAGTATAGGTAATTTAAGTCTGATGTCTGTTTATGTACCAGTTTCAGAGTTTTAAATCTTCCACGAAGAGAACAGAGAGCAATCCTAATATGGAATGAAAATTGTTAAAAATAATGCAGTCAAAAATGTTTGTTACAGTTACCACCTGTTATAAAGTCAAGCAAAGTGAGCAGATCCATTCATTATGTCAAAAGTAAGACTGGGCCATTTTTCAGAAGGAAGTCAGCTTCAAGTTCTGTCAAACGTAATAAAGGTAATTCAGTAAATCACTTTCTTTTTCTTCTTCTTCACATTTACCAGCTGTAAACGTTGGCAGAATGTTCTGGTTGTTCGTCCCCTTTTGGTCTCTAGTCCTGTTCTAGAACCTAAGTGTTGAATCCATATCTGTTATACAGATCTGACATGTTTATGCAGACTTTTGGTTCCTTGCTTCTCAGGCAGATACACTCTGACTTCTAAAGAAGCTCCCAGTTAATCGACTCTTACAGCATGCTTTTAGGTAGGCAGTGGGTCTATCCTTGTTTTCTCCACAGTGGGGCCACAGAACCCACAGTGGGGCCACAGAACCCACACCTGGAAAATAAGTAACTTTAAAGTTAATCATAAATTAAATTATTTTGTTACTCTCCTGTCACACCTCCGGTTCGAGGCATATAACATATATAATTTGTGGGTCTATCTATAACTTTCTCTCCCGGCTACCTACAAGGAAAAAAGGGACAAAAACAAAAAGTGGCACATCCTACTATGATGCTAGACCCATATTTGTATAGACTAATCAGAACTTAGTGTGTGGTCATGTCCAGGAACCTACAGGTAACCAAACATTCAAATGAACTCTGGCCAGAAACCTCAGTAAAGGGAATCAAAAAAAAAAAAGATGCACACACATACAGTTAAACACTTCAGCCAAAGTGTTAACATTTCCTCTGATCTCTGGGTAGTAAGATTAGACGCCCATGTGTATTGTTACACACATAAAAAATATATTTTGTCAGTTGGAAATAGAAAAGAGTAGCCTAACGGCACTGTCCGGGCAAAATTTGGAGTTAAAAATCTACCCAAAGTATTTCAGGATCCTCGCCGGTGCTACAGAGCCTGTGAACTGCGCTGAGATTCTTCAGACTCAGGTTTGAGTTAGAAGTAGACCGAAGCACTTAAGGGTTACTACCCTTGTGCTATGATGTTGATCTGTTGTCTAAACCATAAACCAGTTAACATTGAGTTTTGTGTTAAGCTATTTCTTGATGTTAGCTTAAATGCAGTTCCTAATTACTTACAAAATATCAGGTTTGTGTATGTCTTAGATTGGTGCGTTTTCTTTTGTCTTTCCACCTTTAGAGATTCAATTTGCCATTTCAGGATGGATACATCCTCACTGTGTAGCGGATCCTGTGAAGAATGTTGCTCCCATCATATCCTGCCTGAAAGAAACTCATTGCCTAGCTAACACTCCACCTGATGCACTTTTCTGCACAAGGTTTCTCCTAAGTCTTGTGTCTGCTTTCATGCTTGTAAGGCCCTGCTTCCATTTTCGATACATTACTCTTCTTTCCAAGCCATTGTAATGTTTGATAACACCAAAATACATTATTATCTTAGACAAGATGCTGTTTGTGAGCCAGTTTCTTCACTGTTTATATCATTTAGAATGTTAGTATTTCTCTTTTTCTTGGTCCATGAAGATAAATACACATACCAGAAAAATTAGTTCAAAGCTCTACCATCAGTTGAATCTCAGGGATGCAAAATAAAAACAGTTCATTAATTTAGCAGTGTTAATTAACTTTTAACATTGTTTCAGACATGTTAGTGCTATTCACCTATACAGTTGTTATTAGTTCTGCCAAAGCTAGCATTTTATCTGATACCGTAGAGACAGGTTTAAAAAAAAATAGATCTGGGCTCCCAGTTCTAGCCACTGTTATTTGGGTACTAGGAAATATCCCGGGAAAGTAAAGGCAGCTAACCTGTTGTAAACCACGTCATTATCGAGTGATGCTTGGTCTACAGAATATGGGAGTAGCATTTTATACCCAGTGCCACTCAAGGCATGAAAAGTGTTCTTTATTTGTGCTTTTTACATTGTCCTTCTGTAATAAACAGATTTGTTTGGGTTTGATGAAAGCACCTGGCCAAGTTTTTCTGAGCGAAAACATCAGGAGAAGATAAAAGCGACTGGAAGTTTCAGTGGTATGTTTCTTGAAAATCTCTATTTATTACATATTTGATTATGAATTCTTCTTCTTCTTCTTCTTCTTCTTCTTCTTCTTCTTCTTCTTCTTCTTCGAGTTCACCAGCTGTAAACTCTGGTGGAAAATGCTGGCTGGTCACCAACTTGTGCATGCTAGTCTTGTTCCAAAACTTGAGTTTGCATGCACATCCGTTTTAAAGATTTGGCTCATTTGTATGTAGATTGTTAGTTCGTCACCTCTCAGGAAGATACACACTGACTTCTGTAAGGGAACACTCCTAATTCGTTGACTTTTACTACATGCTTGTTGGAGGAGGGGGGTGCAGTGGGTCCAAAATGGAGTCTGGAATCCACACAGGAAGGTTATGATTTCTAAAACAAAGTAAAAGTCAGCGACTCTCAGTACGCCAGTGGCACATTGAGCATTACTATCCAGAACATGACGTGATACCCCTTTTAGGCTGGGTCGACCTGGGAGCCAAGGTCAATTTTGTTTTATAGAATCTGAAACGATGCCGAATTGAATCCAAAATCTGTGTTTCTTATGATTATTGTTGATTAGTTTCATAGTGTGGGGTTACTGTGGTGTGCTTACTTGCTCAGACACTTCTCTGGATTCAGTCCTAAGCAGAGGGAAGATTATATATATATATATATATATATATATATATATATATATATATATATATATATATATATATATATATATATATATATATATATATATATATATAATGTCTTTTTCCATGGTGACTTTATGGCTGACCAAGCTTGGTAATAGTAGTTTTAAAAAGATATTCTGTTGAATCCATAGTTTTAAAAACAGATATTCTGTTGAATCCATCTGGGCTATAATTAAGATACATAGATTTTTTTCTATCCCGATGTTGGAAATTTGTACTTGTCAATTACTTTTGATTTATTTTGTTAACATTAACACAGATTATATATTCATTGTAACATATGGTAGCAGTATGTATAGTTTAAGCTGAAGAAATGTCTACTTGCAGTGAGGATGTGATTTTTTTAAAGAAGAATGTAAAGAATATTGTGGAATAATGGAAAAACAAAGGAAGCAGTCATCCTCGAGACAGATGGAAGTTGTAAACTAATTAGAGAAATTAGATGTAGATGGTCAGTGTTTTAGAGAGATAATGGCCTTGGTAATGACTGGTAAGTCTTATGATGGATCATTGGACCCATCAGAGATGCAGACAGCTGGGAATGGAGAGTGAGAAACTACAACGAAATTCATTATTTGTTTAAATCACCATTGATTACTGGCATGATGAGGGCTAATAAGACTGAAATAGCTGAGGCATATTGTAAGAAAGTCACATGACAGAGATGCAGAAACTGTGTACACAAGGGAGCTGAAAGGTCGTAGACCATGATGGAGAGATAACATCCAGTTAGTTAGTCTTTCCTCTAGAGCCTAGGGAAGCACATAGGGCAGAGGCCATAGCTCTCCATATCGGCGGTTCGTTGCCACCTGATTAGGGTCTTGGATATTATAACATCCAGGCAGACCTAAAAACATTTGGTGTCACCGACTGGAAAGACAAGGTTAAAAAGAAAGATGAATGGAGGTGGGTGAACCCCAAGGGCAGAATGCTGAAGAAGAAGGAAATGAAGAAGTACTTTTTAAAGAAAGTAGTTGCAAACTACCGGATGTAAACTTGCCTAGAAAAACCACAACAGCCACACAAAAAAAAATACTGGGGTTGGTTCTGCAATGTCCTGTAAAGGATACGCAACTAACAACAGACCTTTTTTTATTCTGATATACTGGATAATCCTTTTCTGTCTCTGTCTTTAGCATGTTTTTTTTTTGGTTGTCACAGATTTATTACAGGGAGTTATAAATTCATTAGGTAGAGTCCTTTGGAGTGAAATTTCTTGCAGTCTAGTGAACTCTTCATTATTATTATGTTCACATTGAGAACGTGTCCTTCTGTTGTAGTGAAATAAGCCACTGCACGTTACAGACCCAGTAATTTTACATTACAAGTTATTTTTTATTCATAAAATTTTGATAACTGTGCTGGTGTCCCACATATTGTCTGCGCTTGTTATTATTTTCTCTCTCATAAATGATGAGTTGACTGTTTATCATAAGCTATTCTCAATAAACACTGAGCTTGGTCAATTTACATTAAATGTTTATCTTTATGCTGCAGGAAAGAACAAATGTAGACACAGATCTGGCTTAGGTCATGGCAGCAGCAGACATGGTCACGGTAAGTGGTCCTCATCTCTGTCAGTGTTTATGGGTTTATGAGTTTATAGGTTTATGCATTCACAGATGTAAAGGTTTTCATGTCTGTAGGTTTCTGTCAGGTGTTGAATGTTGTATGTTGAATTAAGAATCAAAATCACCACACTCGGGACACTCCCATAGGGGCTCAGTTCAGCATCATGTGAAGAGTTCCAATTCCGATGGTACCAGTAACCAACTGATTGTATATCCATTTCATTCTTTCCCTAAGTGTTGAGCGTCGGCCAGATCCTTTGTCAGGTGTAATCCCCTTTTAAAGTTATGAAGAAAGCTGTGGTAGTTTAATGGCTAAATGCTTGCCTGTTGGTCTGATGTAGGGTTGCCAGGTATTCTATTTTTCCCAGATTCCTCAGTTTTCCCCACCCAGGTTTGGTTCCGATGCAGTATGTTTAGTATGTTAAATATGTATATTTTTATAGCCTGTTTATGGTGACAAATATTGTTATAAACAAACAACGAATCATCATTGAGTTATGAAGACTTTTGGTTAAAGGATGCAGCAGGACAGATTTTTTATCAAAATGACCTTGACTTCCACGTTGACCAAGATAGGTACTTTCTTTTCAGGTGAATTTTATTGGACTATAGGCTCAGTGCACCAGTCTTGTAAAAAGGGTCCTTAACTTACTTTACTAATAAAATGTATGGCTTTCATTACTACTCATTAGATCAGATTTGTAATTTTATTTCATCCTTATTTTACTTACTTTTGTGACCCAGGCTTTTTTTGCTCTCTCTCTCTCTCTCTCTCTCACACACACACACACACACTGATATATTGTCAAACACTCATTCACACATTTTGACATCTATACTGATATTCATACACACAGATAGAAATACAGTCCCTTGTTCTCACACACAGATATAAACATACACACATGTGGATACATAGAAACATACACATACACACAATCTTCTTTTTTTCCCAGCCAGTTGTTCAACCCCTGCCACAGACAGAGCACATTCTAGTTTAGTTGCATCGTTCATTATTTTTCTGCCTCCCGTTTGATGTACACCTCTCTCTCTGTATCTCCCCTCTCTCTCCCGCCCTCTTCTATTCTCCAATCATTTGTTAAAAATATTGGACCTTACTTCAACCCCTGCTCCAGACACATCATATTCTTGTTCAGTTGCATCATTAACTGGTCTGGTTCTCTACCATGCATTTGAGATACCACCACTTTCTCTCTCTTTCTCTACCCCCTCCTCACCACCACCCCCCCCCCCACGCTTTTCTCCAGCCATTTGTTAAACTGGGCCCTACTGTAACCCCTGCCCTAGACACAGCAGATTCTATTTCAGTTGCATCATTAATTGTTTATTTGCATCCCCTTTGATGTACACTTATCTATATCTCCTCTTTCTCTCTCTCTCTCTCTCTCTCTCTCTCTCTCTCTCTCTCTCTCTCTCTCTCTCTCTCTCTCTCTCTCTCTCTCTCTCTCTCTCTCTCTCTCTCATCCTCTCCTATTCTCCAACCATTTGTTTAAAATTTTGGACCTTACTTCAACCCCTGCTCCAGACAGCACATTCTCTTTCAGTTGTATCATTAACTGTATCTCTACTTTGCCTTTGAGGTACATCTATTCAAGTAAAAACAAGCTGGGATGAAAAGAGTTAACTGCCAAATCCAAACATTCAGACTAAAATAAACAGTAACAATCTCATCTGATACCTGTTCAGTCATGAACCATTCTATTTGTTTTGTTTACTGTTCAGTTATTAACCATTTTGTTTGTTTTGTTTAGTAGTGTGAACTGAGCACAGTTCTAGCTTAATGTTTTTGTTTTGCCTTTTAATGTGAAAGTGTGATAGTATATTTTCATTGAGAAACTTTAGTAGCATAGTTTGTCTTGCTAAGGTAGGTTTGTGTTAAATTCCAACTTGCTGGATAATGGGAAGGCAAGTTCAGGCTGTTGAGTTGTCACAGACTGTAGTGAAAAGTTGCTTGTGGTTTTTGTTGTTGATGATGATATAGCATAACTGCAATGCAACATCCTGCAGTGAACTCGCTGTCTCTCTCTTTTATACACAGGACATAATATAATTACTGTCATTGTTTGTAGTGGACACATTATCATTACTGTCACTGTCTGTAGTGGGCACATTATCATTACTGTCACTGTCTATAGTGTGCACGTTATCATAACTGTCACTGTCTGTACTGGACACATAATTACTGACACTGTCAGTAGTAGTTACATAATCTCTTATGGTCTGTAGTAGACAGGGCACAATATCATTACTGTCACTGTCTGAAGTGGGCACATTATCATTACTGTCACTGTCTATAGTAAGCTTATTATCAATTATGTTGCTGTCTGAAGTGGGCACATTGTCATTACTGTCACTATCTGTAATTGGCACATTGTCATTACTGTCACTATCTGTAATTGGCACATTGTCATTACTGTCACTATCTGTAATTGGCACATTATCATTACTGTCACTGTCTGTAGTGGGCACATTATCATTACTGTCACTGTCTGTAGTGGGCAGATTATTATTACTGACACTGTCTGTAGGCGGAACATTATCATTACTGTCAGTGTCTGTAGTGGGCACATTATCATTACTATCTGTAGTGGACACATAATTACTGTCACTGTCAGTGGTAGATAATAATTACTAACATGGTCTGTAGTAGACACATTATCATTACTGTCACTGTCTGTAGTGGGCACATTATCATTACTGTCACTGTCTGTAGTGTGCATGTTATCATAACTGTCACTGTCTGTAGTGGGCAGATTATTATTACTGACACTGTCTGTAGGCGGAACATTATCATTACTGTCAGTGTCTGTAGTGGGCACATTATCATTACTATCTGTAGTGGACACATAATTACTGTCACTGTCAGTGGTAGATAATAATTACTAACATGGTCTGTAGTAGACACATTATCATTACTGCCACTGTCTGTAGTGGGCACAATATCATTACTGTCACTGTCTGTAGTGTGCATGTTATCATAACTGTCACTGTCTGTAGTGGACACATAATTACTGTCACTGTCAGTATAGTTACATAATCTCTAACTGTCTGTAGTAGACAGGGAACATTATCATTACTGTCACTGTCTGTAGTGGGCACATTATCATAACTGTCACTGTCTGTAGTGTGCACATTATCATAACTGTCACTGTCTGTAGTGGGCACATAATCACTGTCACTGTCAGTAGTAGTTACATAATCTCTAACATGATCTGTTGTAGATAGGACACATTATCATCACTGTCAGGTTAGCAGGTTATGAAATTGCTGACATAATTGATAAGACTGTTTAGTTGGTAAGGGAGTCGCGGTGGCGTTGGTGGCTAGACCCCCGCTTCCAGATCAGGTCCTGGGTTCATGTCCTGGCGGAGCCAGACTTTTTTTTTAAAAATGACCTCGACTCCCGGGTTGACCCAGCCTTGAGTGGGTACCAGCTGCAGTCCTGGGAAGTAGTGGCGGCCAGCGTGATGCTTACCATATCACCCCCTCCCTCCCTCCAAGTGCCGATTAGTCATTAAAAATATAGATCTAACCCCATATTCCCAGTACACCTAAAGGTGTGGAAAAAGGATCTTTACTTTTACTTTTACTTTGAGTTGGTTAAATTGCTGAGATTGTCAGATGACACTCCCGAGATAGTTTTAAGTTGCTAAGATTGTTAAGAGGTAATTGGTTAAACTGGCTTTGATGAAATTAATTTTAGTCATACAGAAGAACTATTTCTTTCAGGTAGTTAATAGTGTATTTTTTTCAATATGCTAAATGTTTGAAGACATTTTTTTAACCATAGATTAGTAAATAATAATATTTTAATTTATGTTTAGTGTATTAAAAGGCTGCTATATTTCATTTGCTAAAATGTATCTTTAAATAAAAATATCAGAATATATAAGACGCTGATAAGACTAGTTTTCTTATATGGTTGTGAAACCTGGAGCACAACTAAAGAGATGAAGCCTTACTACAAATTTGTGAAAACATGGTCTTACGATAAATCTTTGGACCCATCACATGTATATCAGCTAGGAATGGAGAGTGAGAAGCAACAAATTCATCACTGGCATCATGAGAACTAATGCACTGAATGGCTGGGGCATACTGAGAGAATGTCAGATGACAGAGAGGCAGAGGTTTATATACAAAAGGGAGTTGACAGGCCACAAACCACAAGGCAGACCATGAGGTCAGTAGAGAGATGATAACCAGACAGACCTACAAACACTATGAGTCAGCAACAGGACTGCGATGGTTGGAGGCAGGTGATTTAGGTAGCAGTAAACCTCTTGGGCTCACAATGCTGAAGAAGTTATAAATTGCCTTCTTATTTTATTTAAGAATTATATTTTAGTTGAGTTGAGTTGATTCAAGAACCAAAATCACAGCACTTGGTGCATTCCCATAAGCACTCTATCCTCATCTTCAGCAGCTAGTGAAGAGTTCTGTTACTAATAGTGCCAGTAGCATTCTGATTAAATGTCCGTCTTGCCTTTTCTCTGAGCCTCGAGCATCTGCCAGAACCTCTCATCACTCCCCACTGCATCGATCTCACCAGACTCTGGTGATCCATCTGCTCCCCCGAACTGTACATGCTCTCCCACAAGGCACTAACCACATCTGCCTTATAATATTTGTAAAATTGTAACTGGAAACATTGTGAAACTATTTTGATATAAATACCACATTTAATTCTTTCTTTCTCATGAATCTCAGACACTGGGAATATTTTCACAAACTTGGAGAGCTTTAGCGGTGATTACCTCAAAAGGCGAGAGAAGGCATTTAAGCATCAATCACACAAGCAGAAAAAGCATTTATATCGATCTGGCCATACAGCCATTAAATCTGGTAAGTTAAACAAAATACATGTCCTTTTCAGAACCTCCCAAACAAACCCCATCATGAATTGCTTATGTGGTTTTATTAGGTGATTTTACATTCAGTAGTTTGTCCAGTTAGTCCACAGATGACTTTGAATTCTGGGAAATTGAAATTATGTAACTGCATTTACAGACTCTAAGCGACAGATGCTAAAAGTTGAAAAAAAAAAAAAAAGTTAAAAAAAACTTTTCCCCCTTACATCATCTGGTTTATTCAGTATAATTACTAACTCTATATTTTTAGATCAGCTGGCACTTGCTGTTTGATGTGGTTATTATCATCATACCAGCCACATTTTTTTCCAGAAAATCTACGTTAACTTTAAATGCTGATTGGTCTTTAACAAAAATGAATCTAGGACCATGGGCCACTGGCATAAAAAGCCTTTTTCTATTTTCATTTCTTACCAGATTTTCTAAGTATGTGTGTCTTATTACATGATTAAATGCAAGATTTGTTTATGATTTGATTTTTATTTTTTCCAGAGACTTGTTCACTTACCTGTCATCAGGAGTCTGGCCTGGGACTCCTAGTCAAGTTTGCACTGACAGTCTCCACAACATCTCAGTCATCATCCAATGTTTCCTTGTCTCTGTCATCATTGACAGCAGCCTCCTCATCTTCTGCCTCTGTGAGAGAGAGCCAGTCTTCAATTGGTTGCTTCAACAGTGGTGTCTTTAGCACTAGCAACAATACCAACTACTGCAGTAGTCTATACAGCAGCTGCAGCAGCTTGTACAACATGAATAGCAACACAAGTCATGGAAGTCAGGCCCCAGGTGTCACATTTGGGTCTCTGAGCAGCCTTATGTCCTCCCCGAGCTCAGGTCCAATCAGCTTTACAAGTCCCAGCCTGACAGCAGGAAGTCACAACTGCGGAACTCCAGCTGCAAAATCTATCTCCACATTTGCTGCAGCTGCAGCTTCTTCTCCATTAGCATCTGTGATTGGTTCACCATCAGCATCCGTTTACACTGTTTCTCCATTGTTTCCTTCGCCTGGAGCTCAGCAGTCCTCAGCCGAAGAGTCCAGCGGTGGATTGAGCAGTGGAACATCCAGCATCAGCAGTGGAAGTGCCAGCTTCAGCACATCAAGCAGTAGTACTGCTAGTGGCAGTACAAGCTGTGGAATGGACATCAGCCCATTGAAGAAAAAGCCTGATGATGGTTTGTAGACAGTTGTCATTTATTTCCTTGTAGACTTTGTTTGGTAAATTATCATTTTTATGACACAGTATAAATATTGGACTAGTCAATAAAGTTTGTCTGCTCAGATAT